CATCTGCTAGCCGCTAATATAAATAAAATAAAATAAAAAACTAATAAAAAAGCTAATAAAAATAAATAAAGTGTACGTGTACAAGCGCCGTCAAATTTACTATACAGCTTTATGAAAACATTTAATCATTGTCTCCTTTTCCTTTTCTAATATATTACTATCTTATTGACCGGTATTATATCGGATTCATACCGGTATTATACCGAAACACATCTACCGACTTAACATCGTTATACCGGTATTCGCAATAATTTCGGTTTCATCAAACCGGTATCGAATAGTAACCTAAAAATACCGGTATTTTTCCGGTATCCGTAGTACCGATTCGATCTCTGCTTTCAGATTCCTGCGATTTTTCTCGTAATTGGTTTCTGCTCGTCGAACGTTGCTGTCGAGGCGAACGGCGACCAGGCAGACAACGACACCGTCTCGAAGAGATCCGAGTCAACGGGGGAGGAACAATCGGATCTGCCGATTTTGCCGCCGATAATTCTGTTGGACTTCGGCAACAATACGGAAGACGAAAACGTCACGTCCGAGGAGAAGTCGAAGCGCACGGTGAACGGCGGTCTAGGTTACGGCCTCGACGGGAACACCGTGCAAATACCGAGAAAGTACAACTATTATTTCCCAGCTGGGAAATCGGGGACGACGGTGAGCATCGAGGAATCGATCAGCCCTTTCCTGCCGAAGACGATAATCGAGAGGGTGCTGCCCGGCAATCAAAAGGGTCATTTCGCCGATATTAACGGCCCGGGTCAAACGGATCCCCGACATTTGAATTTCGATCAGTCCGCGAGATCTCAGCCCGTGTTCGGTTTACGAACGCGGCCGCAAAAGACCGTAGGAAGTTCCAGTTCCGAATCGTACCAAAACTTCTTCGCAACGGCGAAACCGCCAGCCAGCTCATTCGCAATTCAAAATCCGGGATATAGGAGCAATAATTTCCCAACTACGACACAATCACCTTTGGCAGCTAGCGTCACAGAGACGCTCAGATACGTAACTCCAACGCCGGCCAACTTCGCAAATCCGCAGAGCGGTTCGTTAAACTACGTTACTGCGGATCCCTTCCCCCATAACGGGAACGGTGAAACTCACACAAGCCAGCGGCAGAATATTCAATCCAATATCAATTCCCACCGTTTCGGCTCCGTTTCTCAGAGTGTCGAGTCCACCACCGCCACTCCGTTGAACTACGATCCTCCTCATTTCCGTAGCGCCGGCTCGCCATTGTCGAACACCAGCCCGAGGTACACCGTGGAAAATGGTATTCGCTACGAGAACAAAATCTTTTGGAAATATCCGGACGGCAGGGTGTCCGACGTTCCGCCTGCTACCTACGTCGAGTATCAGCGACCGTCGTCGACGCAGCAACACGCAAAATCTCAGGACCCTCGTCCGATTTACGAGGGCAGTTCCACGGAGAACGGCGTCCTCTCGCAGGGACCGTTGCAATTCCCTACGGTGTCCGAGCAGACCGGAGGAGAGGCAAACACGTTCGTTTCCGCGGAATCCTTCTCCGCGAGCTTGCCGCAGCAACAAGTGTACCGGCTCGGTTATCAGAATTTAGTGAATCAGAGACAGCACGTAAACTTGCAACAGCGGCAACCAACTTCCTATTCTTTCGCCTCCGTTTCCTCGGAGAGAGGGAAGCCCAGTCCGATCGGATCCAACGTCAACTACGGCTCTCGTTATCGGCAAACCTCGTCGAGGTACATGGTGAACAGTCCAAATCCGGAGTACACGACGGAGCCAACCATTAACAGCACCGCGTCTCTCAATTCCATCTCCACCTCGTCGACTGTACGTCCGTCGTCTCGAACCAAGTACGATCCGAAAATACGCGACTATCTGGACACGATACTCGGCGAAAACGGAGAATCGGCGAAACAGAGTTTCAGCGGCAACAGCGACTTGAACAGTTACTCGAACCTTCAGTACTCGGATCTATTGAACTACAACCCGTCAATCTCGGAATATGTTAGAAACCCTTCGTCCATTTTAAACGTTCGGCCAACTTTCGTGCAAGCTGGGAATTCCTTGATACCGGTTATTATACTCAGAGTGGATGGTGCTTCTCCCATTCAAACGAAGGACACGCAGAACGTTAATCTGAAGGCTCTGCTTCAGCAGTACTTGATTCAGTACGCCAAGAGCATTCAACAATTGGCGCAACCGTCTACGTACAATCTCGGAACGGAATCCTTTCCGAGACGTTCCGCGACCGGGTCCGACAAAAGTCCCATATTGGATTTAATCCGATTGGCCGAAGGCGATGAACGCGAGCCGCCCAGCTATCATTCCAATTCGTACGTCGGCAAGTCGAGTTACGAAACGAGTAACGTAGGCGATTCGCAGGATTTTACTAGCAGCCGTTACGTCGAACGATCGACAGGTCGGCAGAAAACGAAGAGCGTTCAAATTCTAGATAATCCGAAATACAGCACCGCCTACAAAGTTAATAAATGAGCGTCTCGGTTATTAATCATTTGCGCTGGAATTTCTTGCCCCAAAATTGCAATATTTCCTCAGTTTTAAAGTACATTTAAGTATAACCCCAGGCAAAACAAATAATAAATTTATCACTTCTTAATCATTTTTTATCCAGCAATGTACCGACGAGTTTATAAAGAATTGTATACGGCTTGGTCGCTCGTTATGGTCCGCGCAATCGGTTGCCAGCGCAAGTGGTTAAAGCGAGACATTTGGCACATCTACTGTTGCATCGTTCTTCGAGACGCTTTGTGCCATTGAACCTGGAAAGTATGTTATGATTTAACGGATTAATACTCGGTAGTATTTAATATGGGATTGTGCAATAAAGTTTCGCTATATGTACATACATTGTACCTGGACGAATGCTTCTTTGAAAGCTGCAGAATAAATTTCTGGACTTTGAAGAGTTAGTCGTGCTCAAGGCAGACCGTTGCTTTGAAATTCTACCTGTTGTCGACCAAATTTTTCACTTCAAGAAGGTACCTTATAAAGTTAGCTCTTAAGGATCTGGTATGAAGCAGTACATTTATACTATTGTATATATGTATGTTTGTCTACTTAAATAAAGTTTGTACGTAAGCGAACGAGTCTTGCATTCTCTCTGAATTTGTTTGAATGAGATTATTAACGCACGATATCACGGTGTATAACATTTGAAAAAGTCATATATATATTTTTTTTAAATAAAATAAAATTAATAAAAGTTTGTTTACACGAATTTGTCGGGAAACAAGTAATTCACGCACAGAGTGTTTAAAAAGAGGAGTTGATTTTTTTGCAATTGCTTTCAAGGCATATATTGATCAGACATTTTTTGCATCCTTTGTTGATTACCTTCACGCCTTTCAAATATCGAACCTTCTTTTTTTAACACTCTGGTCTACTGATTCTCTCCTCTATAATAAAACTTCAAGTTCAAATATAATAGTAGAATTTATTTATGTGAAAGCCATTTATATGAACAAAATTTTTAATGGTGCCTAATTACCTGAACTCCAGCTGAACTCTTGCTATATGAACTACCATCGTGCGTCAATCCATTTATATAAATGTATATTTACAAAATGTTTCGTGAAGTCCTCTTATATAAATGCGAACTCCGATTAATTAAACGAAAAAATGACAGATAGCGAGGAACAACCTGATTATATTGGTCTTGTACTCTTGTTCTCAATTCATATAAACAAAGTTTTACTCTAACAAGTAGATTTAATCAATAAAAGTTCATTTAATCGAGTATTGATTAAAATTTGTTTCAAATAAATGGGGTATTGTATATAATACGTTCTTGCTATATACAGGTATTTCATCTTATTCATTTGACATTTTAATTATTTTCAATATTACAAAAAAAAAAGATAAATATTGTGCATAATTTTTCTTGACAAAATCATACTTTTCGAGGTTTCAATATTATCGTCGTATTTTTAATCATGATATATTTCTTTCCATATTATTTTAGTCGAGAAAATGAGTTTCAACCATGTTTGATGTGTCTATCTTTTTTTAACCTGGTATGACAGATATGTGTGATGTATAATTTTCTTCTTTTTGTTTCAAATTTTTATTTTACAAGAAATATTAAAATTGTGGAAATTGTGTATGAAGTTCTCCCCATCGCGCAAGAATTTTTTTTTCATAAAAAGTAAAGATTCTGCTGCAGAAAACACGTAAGAAAACATTTTACATACATACGTACACTGTCATTTCTTCAGCTATGATCGAGAATGTAACCTCATGTATCACACTTTATGTATCGTTTCCGAAAATATGTATTTTAAAGCTAAGGGACACATTAAACATCTAAGGAATATTTCATTTATAAAAGAAATATGAAAATCTTCAATTGATCGTTTTCCTCCAAATTGCCATGATTTTTTTTTTTTTTTTTATATCAGATCGTCTGAAAATCAATGCATAATACATATCCAAAATGCATGTTCCTTTGGCTACTATAGTATGAAAAGAAAAATATGTCATCACTGAAAACTCGAAAAGAAATAATTTCATTTGAAAAAAATCATTTTTTAAACTACGTAACATTGTCGTCCTGACTTTTTTGTATTAGCAAAATAAATTTTTGTAATAGCGTTGAAATACTTTTTAAAAGAAAATATGAATTTGCTACTGTTATTCAAACATGATGTCACACAATACTTTCGTTAATCAATTGATAGTTGAATTGCTGACTAAAGCGAAAAGTGTATGTTTCGTTTAGCATTAATTTGAATAAATAAAAGGTTTAAACATGGACAGTATTTATACCTAAATGGAATAGACATGTTACAAAATTAGTAAACATAAACATTATAAGATAATATTTGATTTATTAAAGAATCTTACTTAATTTATTAAAGAACCCTAGTATGCGAAGAAGAAGAACAAAAGACGACGATGCGAAATAACAGATTGTAAAGTATAGGCTATTCGATGAATTGTTTCCAATTTCAAAGGTAAGTTGCTGCAGAAGTGAATGTTAGAACTAAAAATGTTAGACGTGTTCTATAATAAAGAGAAAATATTGAACGGCAGAAGTCATAGTAATGACAATTTTCAGTGTGAAAGTATAAGGTTGTCGTTTGCAATTTTTGCTCGTGAAAAGTGGAAAAATATTATCTTTTCAAATGATATTTAATCTAAATGAACGTGAATTTCTACTCTCATGATTTGGAAAAATAATAGTTATTATTAAATTATTTTCATGCGAAAGGAAGAACGGCTATTGGGTATCGCAGAGAGATCGATATACAGCTGCTTTGTGGATTTTAAAACGTACATTTTATCGATTCATAATTAATTAAAAAAATACGCAGCAATATAAATAAAATATTTTTTGGGTCAAAAAATATCTATTATTGATTAACCAGCATGCTTTTTTTTGACGTAAATGTAAATAGAAAATATTCGGGCAGAATTTATAAAAAGAATATGTATAGGAAGTACGAAATGTCAGATTTTTAATGACTGAAAATGCTGCATTTTGAAAGAATGGAATCCAATATCATAATTTATTATATAAACTATTTTTTAAAGACGATGAATTATTAAAAAAGATGATTTACAAAATATTAAGAACAATATATATATTTTTTAAATATATTTGTTATAATTAATTAAAAATTATTTTTTTTTTTTGCTTCGTTTCTAATATATGTATGATATACAATACCACAGAAATGATTAACATTATTACAAGTTCAATAAGAAATTAAATTTATTCCGAATAATAATAAATTAATCCTCAATTATAATGCAGAAACATAATTTTGTAGAAAATGGACATTCACTGTCATATTTTATTGACAGATCATATAAATTATTTCTAAAGATGATGAATTCGTTAAAAATACGATGAGTTACAAGATATTAAGGACAATACATCTTTCTTGTTTAATATTTGTTGTAATTAATTAAAAACGTTTCGCTACCTTTCTCTCCTAATTATTTTATTCTGTTTCGAATAATACATAAGTATTTTAACAAATCATTAACGTTATTACAAATTTGATAAAGAATTAAATTTATTTCGAATTAATTAATTTTCAATTAATTAAAATGTTGAAATGGACGATTATATGAAACTAATAATTTTATTCAATCCTGTATTTCCATCCTCGTTGCTTGGATAATGTGTTCTAAGTTTTCTTACTTTCAATTTTCCTTTTACTATCTCCCCCCCTTCCCCAAGTCTCTAAGTAAAAAATTTTCGACACTTTTTGATTATTCCGATTAGCGACATTTTATTATCTCCTAAACTCTGCAACCAATTAATTTAGAAAACTCGAAGGAAAATAAAATTCCGCGTGAAATTTCTAATGTATTCTTCGTACGTTTCACGGTTTATTTGGAGTCAAGTGCATAAACTAAGGAACGTGCGTTTGAATAAACACCGTCGTAGAATACTACATGCTACGCAACGTTGGCGTCGATATCAGCATCGATATTGTTTCGAAGCGTAGAGCAAATCTTAATCGTTCAGAGCGTTAGGATAATTTTCCTCTCGTCAGAAGAACGGACAAAAGAGGAGAGGAAGCCAATTAGCATTAATTATTCGTTAAGTGCAGACGAACAAACTGAAGCTGCGATGATCGTAGGGCGCAGATAATTCCACGTTTTCACAATGAAAGGCAACGATAATATCACCGTACACATCGGAGCACGGCAATTAGACACAAGGCATTAAACTGTAGCGATTGCCAGCGCGGTTTTACACAGCGGAGAGTGCTCGAGCGTACGTAGTATCATCGTGGCACACAGACGCTAACCATTGTTTCTAATGTGTGAGACTGGTTGCATCGGGAGGAGTGAGCGCGCTGCGCATAATGCGTGTGTTTTAGAGCGCATAAAACGCAGCCGGGAAACTACTGACCGTACAAGGTGAATCTTTTATACTTTGTGCAATGTCTCTAATTGCATTTTCTTCATACCTCGATGGCATCGATTCTGTTAAAAAAAAAAAAAAGAAAAACAAAGTTCGAAGTTCATTGGCTTTCCGAATCTACTTTCGGCTTGCCTCGAACGACGAAACGTAAAAGAAAAGAACGTATAGAAAAAGTGTAAGAAAAGCCATCGTGTTGCAATTAATTGCCCGAAATATTTATTAAATATTTAAATAAATAAATAATTGTAATGCCAAAAGATATTTAAGTAAATAAATAATTGTAGTATTAAAAAAAAAAACATTTGAGTAAGTAAATAATTGTCATTTCTTCTTGTAGCAAATCTGCGTGGCTTACGCGATAGCGGACAAGCGATCGCATCCTGCGCTCGTCACGGACAAAAATTTCACAGCGATGCTTCGCGTGTCGCGAATGAAAGTATCCTCCGGCTGGTGGACTATACGATAATATTTAGAACGATATTTTTCACTTGGCTGCCAGAGTGTATAAAGAAAATCGCGTGTCTACTATGTGGCTCAGTTCTCGCGCGAAGGTCCAGCTCGCAAGGTCTTTCGGATTATACAATAGAAACTCGGAGAAGAGTCCGCGGCTGCGATCAATGTGTTCAACGGAAAGCTCGGTGACGCTCGATCCATCTTAATCGTGGTTTCTGTTCTAGAGGGTAAACGGGTGATTCTGCTTCGGCTGAGAAAATGTTCTTTTATCTAGTAAGTACGTGACGTCAGACTTTCGACGAAAAGTGTCGATCCGTTATTGTGCGAGTTGTGACGATCGTAGCACGAGTGTTACTCCCTTAAACGTTGGGGGTATTAAATGTTAAACGGACGACGAAAGAACTTGCGTCCCTGTTCTACGTTAAGTTGTAAATCTTGATGTCTCGTTTCATCGTCTTTCGGTTTCACAGAACGGATGAAAAATTGTCAGGAAATTCGCGAAGCAGGATCCAGCGCTGCTACGTATTTATAATTAAAAATGCCAATAAAAGTTTATAGAGTGTATCTAACGCACGCGGATCAGTGTAATTGGAGCACTTTCTTTCTTCATATTTCGACGCCGATGGTTTCCCTAATTTGTCTCGCATACGTGTCGGCCAATTAAAGGAAAGATCTTACTTTCTTTCACTTAGGCGACTGAAACCTGGTATTGGTGTGTTTAGTGTGTTCGGAAAGTAGGACGAAAAATCGCTACAATAGTTAACATCGATTAACATCATTCTTTGGCGATTAAAGACTAATTTTATTCTGCCCGCCGTGATTGTTTCGCTTTACATTCCAATTATTTTATTCGAACGTGAAACGGAAACGTTCCGCTATAAGTTTAATTATTACCTGTTACCTAGGTCTAAAATCCTTCTTTTCTCTCTGTCGTTCTTCTTTTCATCGTTCTCCAAATTTCCAGGGTACCCGATCGAGTCATTTAGTTTCTGCAAGTCGGCGAGAAAGTTCTTTAGGATCTGCTTCCGTGCACATTCAGTCCTTCAGACTGTCACACACTACACACGCATGCCTCTCTCGCATTTTACTTTTCTATTCTGCTTCTCCTTTTTTTCTAGGTCAGCCCCCTCGACTGCCTCGCTTATTTTCACCGATAAAGTCCCGTCCAGTTTCGGCAGTTACCTTAAATTCCCAATAATCGGGGCGCTTTCTTCCTCCGACGACGCACTGGCTTTCCTTAAACGAGTTAGCGTCTCGCTAAACGCTCTCGATAAATCAATTTGATACGCTTGCCCGAGCCACGCTCGCGCTCGATCTAATCCGATCGATACGGCGATACGAAACGCAGACGGCGACAACTTTATATATATATAGACGCTAGTTGGATTACGATCGAGTTTCTATTCGATTATTCATACACGGTCTGATCGAATTTACGGCCAAATACGAGGAAATTTAATTATGTAATAAATGGAAATAGCTGTTTGCTTCCGATTGTTAATAAGTTTGTATTCGGTGCAGGTTATACTCTTATCTAGCTGGCCGCACGTAATAGGAACAGGAAACACGGACCCACGGGATGAGGTGGCGTTCGATCAGATTGCAACTGCGTCGGAGAACGTGAGGCGAAATGCGGAGAAACCTGAACAGAAGCGGGAGTTTCGAGATCAATTGATAACGTCGATGATCGATACCACCGTGCACTACGAAAATTCAAATGGGTTCGTACCCATGTTAATGTCCTCGTCGCCGTTAGCCCCGACGTCCTCGGAAGAAAAGAAACAACCAGCTAACGGCACTTGGAACAACTCTTTGTACCAGCGGGGAAATTCGAGCAAGACCGACGACAACGACAGGCAGACGAGTCGACAAGAAACGGACGATCTCGAGAACGATCCTCTTTATTCCACGGAGGCGAGAATATTCTTCAATTTCCCGAACCTGAACGCGAATCGTCGATCCTTCGAGCATCAAGGGAGTCAGAATGAATTCGACTTGCTCAAGGTAACAAACGGCACGCCAGTGATAGCCGCTTATTCAAATTTGTACGAGGAAGAGCCGAGCGTCGGCGAGAATGAAGAGAAAAATCCGCGATCCTCGCCGAAACGCAAAGTCCACGGGAAAGGACAAAGAACGGAGAACTACGGGACAGCTGTATCGGAAAGCAACGCCGGTAGCCCGTACGGCTATTATTACTCTCACGATTCAGCGAAGGATAAAGAAAAGAAGAGCAACGATGGGGAGAAAGTGGTGAGCAATTATCAACAGCAGGACGCTCTGAGTTATGGCAGTCACGGGCAGAGCGCAAGTGGACAAATTGGGCCGACCGCGTCGTCCTTCTCAAGGCTGAACGACGAGGTCAGTGTCTTTCTGAAGACAAAGAGTTCGCCTCAAGTTGCGAACAACAACCATAGATTCTCCCGACCCGTGGTGGTCGCCGAGCCAAGTTACAAATTCGATCAGTCGTCGAGAGTGTCCGATTTCGACGCCGACGACTACCAAACCTCGAGGTTGATCGATTCGGCGAGCTCCGAGGTGCATCGTTACATGGTGAACGACAGGGACGGTAAATTTCGAAGCGACGAGAGTTCGAGGGACGTGTCGGAGGACGATTACACGGACGAGTACACGGAGAGGCCCAGACGAGTGCAGAAGAACAGAAGACGGCCAAACAACAGCTCGAAGAGGCTGCCGAAGGAGCATCGAGGGAACGTCGACGACAGCTTGGAGCACGAGAGCCAAGGTAAAAGGCATCACTCGTCGACGAGGACGAAGTCGCATCGGCAAAGATTGAGGGGCAATTCGTGGACGGAGGATCGAGATAACAGTTACGAAGACGCGAGCCGATTGAAGTCGCAAAGCTCGAAATTCAAGCCGAGCAACAGCTGGAACCAGATATCGCCGAATCTCGAGATTTCGCACTCGAGCGGCGTTGAAATCGGGCAGCTCGAGAAGCCGAAGCTCATCGTCCCGGTGAAAGTCAACTTGGTGCCGGTAACGAATTTCGATCACGCAACAGCGATCGGCAACAGCCAAGGATTCGACGTTTCCAACGCGATTCTGCGGAACATCGTCTCGGCCACGCCGCTCACCACGGTAAGCACGTCCGCGCCTGAGATGAACACCGTCGAGAATGCGATCGGTAACGACGGTAGAATTGTGTCGACGCCCTTGCCGGACATTATCGTTGGCCAGAACAACCTGCACAATTCGATGCACGCGTTTCCCCCGTCGGCGAACGAACAGACCAGATTCCCGACGAATCTCAACCCGCAATACGTGTCGAGCACAGTCGCGCCAGTTTTTGCCGTCACTCCGAGCTTGAGCCCCAACTTGCAGAGCGTGTCGGTTCAAGACGCTCACGGCACCGCTACGTCTCGACCGGCGATCGTCACTGCATCGAATCAAGTGTCGTCCAGCCATGTGCCGCAGCTAATACTCCCGCAACCGACCTTCCAGACGATCTCGACGTTGATGCAGACGCCGGTCATCAGCCCGGATTACATTCAAGTGAATCCTCACGGGATGCATGGCCAGAATCCTATCGGTCATGGTAATTTGCAGGTGCAACCGCTACCGACGATGTCCACGATCACACCGACACCGCAGACCATACCCGTTACGAACATCAACCTGATAACATCCGAGTCGCAAAACAAGAAGACGTTGCTCCCCGGTTCGAGCACGAATTTCTTAGCCTCGGCAAGTCTCGCGGTCGGCCACGACGATCCGAGGCAAACGTCTAACGGTAACTCTTATTATTTGCAGAACTCGAACGCTGCCGACGATATTAATAATAGGCCGCAGGTACAGGGCGGTCTTTACCAACAAACGTTGAGGAACGTTAACATCGCCGCACCGAAAACGAGAACCTACTTGCAAACGACGCATTTACTGCCAGCGGTTTTCAACTCCGTGCCAACGTTCACTACGTTATCGGCAAACAACGCTCCGCAAATGTTCTCCGAACAGCAGAACGTTCAGGGAACGAACCTTGTGCTGCAACAGCCTCGGGAACAAGGTCAGCAATACGCTAGGCAAAACACTGGTTCCGATGGTGGCGCGTCGTCAACGTTGAAAAACGTCAAGCTGCCGTCGCTCGTGTATCAGATGATCGATAGCACGGCGAGTCACAGTGCCGGTAATATCAACACCGTGAACGCGTTGTCGCCAGGTGTTTCAGGTGTCGTCGGGAACGCGCATTTGCCACACATCGGCACGAGAAACGTAGAGATCGTCAATCCGAGTATCAAGCCCAGCCCGACAGACACCACGATCGTGAATCCCTACGAGTCGATGCATTATCCGGCTGCAGTTTTAACCACGTCGATTCCAATGTTCGCCACAACCAGCTTCGTTACAGCGAAACCGACCGTATTGTCGCCGACCGTCGGACCTACGAACATACAGAATGTGCTGAACGCAATGACAATGGATAATCAAGCAACCATCAACGATCTGAATGCGTATCAGTCTCAAGACAGGCCAGCGTTCAATCCCATTAATTTTGTCCCGAATATAGACGTCGTGAAAAATCAAAGCGCGTTGAACAGCAAACTGCACGCCAGTGAACCCCTACAACCGAGTCTGAGCCTAGTACCGCTGTTGCCCGGCGGCAATTTCTTCAAACCTTCGTTCTCCGCGCAAAGCGAGCTGCTGGTGAAGCCGAAGTTAGCCTCGGACCTGGAGACATACGCGGAGCAAATGTTCAAAGAGTCGCTGAAGACCATTTACAATTCGCAGAAGTGGAACAACGACCGGCGACCTGGCAGCAATCGCCACAACGTCACCGACTTGTCGGACATCGCGAAATTGAAGAACGAGCTGCAACGATTGAAGGCGTCGTTGTACGACTCGAAGCGGAACAAAGAACAGCTGGACGCGCATCACAGCGAGACGAAGATACGAACGAGCGAGTTACCGAGCAAGAAACCGGACGAGCTGATCGCCGCGTTGGAGCAAATGCTGAAGACGAACAAGAACCCATCGGATTCATTGCACGCGTTTCAAGGGAGTAACAAACCGTACCGATATAGACCGGTCGATCAAGAAAGATACAACTTTGGATCGAACGGTGAGCTCAGAGAATCCTCGAAGCACGTCAGGGATTTCCTCACACCGCCGCATCTGAATTCCCATCGTACGAAGAATCATTTCCATAACAAACCAGGAAAGAAAAGACCGGGTCCAACCAGATTCAACAATCACAAACGCAATCATCACCATAGGCCGAGGTCACACCCAGGAAGTAATTTGTCGCAGAAATCGGGCGGCCTCGAAGCCTCCGGGTCAAATATCGATCCGGTTCACACCGACGGCTTTCCCAAGTACGAAAACACGCAGGACTCGAGGCATTTCAGGAAAGGTTCGCCGTTCGATTTACACGCCTCGGCGTCTTCGCTGTCTTACGAGAGAAACAACTTTCCTAAATCGGCCAGACACCACAAGACATTAGACGTGAAGGAGAATGCGTATAATCATCCCAAGATGCATAATTTTCTTGGTTTGTTGATGAAGAACAAGCAGTTGCCGAACGGGCAGAGGCACTACTTTCACGACAGAGATCAACTGAAGCAATTCTTCGAGGACGAAACACAACGGACGCAACAGCAATTTTACGACGATACTTTGAGGGATTATTTTTACAAATCGTCCAATGATATGATGCGTTCCAATTTGGGACAGATTGACTCCAACGGTCGGAGAACATCGTCGGAAAAGAAAGCAATTTCAGTCTGATATTGAACGAACAAGTATTCTTGCCGTGCAATGCAATTTAGACTTGTAATGCAAGTTGTCAAAATATCGTAACAAGTTATATGAAATCGAGATATATGAAAACTTGTATTGTCAAATGTTTCTAACGGCAGAAGTAAACTTTGAAACGGCATAAAGAAATGTACGTAAGACTTAGATGAATAGGTATTGTGTTTCACTGATCAATCATTCACTTTTGAAATCGAGATATATGAAAACTTGTATTGTCAAATGTTTCTAACGGCAGAAGTAAACTTTGAAACGGCATAAAGAAATGTACGTAAGACTTAGATGAATAAGTATTGTGTTTCACTGATCAATCATTCACTTTTTTTTTTCTGTATCATTCATTTTTCAAATAGAGATTCTCGTCTGATTACGATCGACATTTATTGATCATTTAAATAGTATTTCATATAATATTGCAAGACTTAAAAATGTTTAAATGAATGGAGACTGAAAAGGAAATTTTAATTATTTGTTTTTAAGGTGCTAGAATTTGTTGTATATAATATATGATTACAAATGAAAGATATGAATTCATTTTATCTTTTTTTATTCAATCCAGTGTTCCTTTTACCATGACTTTGAAACTCTTGATACCATCTCTCGAAAATATTAGACGTTAATTATTTCAGCTTTCTAATCTATGCATTGACTTGCATTTTTCATTGCACCTACGTTGAATACCTATCGAAATAAATAAATTTTATTTGGGTCACGTGTTGAATTTAATTTTTTACATTTCTCATTGAATTAATCTCGAATCAATTATCGTTAATAACAAACATCTTATCTGATAAATATTTTGCATTCAGTATTATCGTGAAAATTGACCTTGAATTATTTTTACTTACCGCAAGGAATGGACAGACACAAGCATATTTTCTTTAATGACCATAGTACAATGTCTGACAAGTGACCGGATTTCTAAATTTATTTTATCAGATCGAGCAGTTACAACTTGATCGATAAAAAGATGGTAATTGTATTGTGATTGCAACAATCGTCGACTAGTCGAAAAAAATTTGCCCGTAACGTAATTGATCCTATTCTAATGTCTTTGTTTTCTTTTTTTTTTTTTTTCTTTCGAACAATTGTCGACATGCTGATTCCTTTTTCAATTTCCCGCACACGTTACGCCAGCTGTGATAGATTTGATTTATGACAGACTTCATGCATCGTTTTCAGAGTGTATATCTACTGCCATACTAGGCCCTGACTTTCACTAGAAAAGATAGTTAGGTAGCAATTAGAAAGAAACTTTTTTACGGCCCTTTCAATTTACAGCATCGCCGAGAAAAATTTGCTCGAGTAATTTCACAGCTTCAGAAATTAAAACCAATAAATATCGATTTGTTATTAATTGTACTTTCGGTAAATTTGATCATTGTACGTTGGAACGCCTTGATCTTGATTAACCATCTTAAAATATACTTAATCATGCGTAGAACATTTGACGTGTGCGTCATAGAATATCACAGAATCGGCAATTAATTGCAGAAATGAGAATACGAAAGCTTTATTAAATGAACGATACTTTGTTCTTCAAACGTTATTGGAAATATCGCGATCGCGGTGAAGGTAACAATAATTATTTGCTGCACTGCAAGCATGCAGTCGAGGAAACATAAATTAGCGAGAAGTTGGGTCGTTGACACGCCGGCTAAGCACCGACAATCAGAGAGAGTTACGGAGATTTGACTCAGTTTTTCTCGACACGCTTTTTGTTGATAGTAGAAAAGTCAAATTCACTCGACTGTCTCGCATCACTAATCCCTGAATATAAAAGATCACGAAGCCTGAGTCGCAGCCAGTTAAGAAGCTATCGTCGGTGTCTATCTGCGTCGATTAAGCTGATACCATGTTGGTACGTCTTCGGTGATCTATATCATTCACAATGATTACATTGATGATTTTCACGTCGAAAGAATCGATTGATAATTGATCGCATATGTGAAATGTGTCTAACAATAAATAGTTAATTGTGTTGCAGGTATTCTTCATTGTTTTAATCACGTCGATGCTGAATTTGGCTGTAGGAGCGGAGTACGAATTTTCAACTCCAAATTTTGTAAAACTAAAAAGGGAGATCGTCGAAACTGACCACGATCATGTTTCTCAAGATCATCAACCACATCAAAACCAGTCGACTTCACCGAAACCGGACATACGAAATGCCGAATCGACGAATCCAAAGTCCTTGTCGCACCATAAAAATACCAAAACTATGAAAGAATCTCCATTTGTTGGACGTAGCAGTCCTTTAATGTACAGCGATGTATTTAAACAATCGCCCTATGTTACTTCGCTACTGCCTATTCCTTCGTTCGAGTTCCAGAACAACAAGCGATTGTTGCCATATTCTGATCATTTATTTACTATGTCCGCTGGCTATAAAGTTACAGGTGACGATTTCGCTAGACCATTGAAACAACAAGTTGGTACACACCGTCAGCCAAAATTTATTCAGAATGCAGCAATAGGTACAGTAATCAATAGACTGCGAATGTTCATGTATTTTTGAGTTTAAAATCCTCGAGATGTACACAGTGACATACTTTATTACATTATATCTATATTTCATAAAATATATTAGTATATTAACTAACGATATATACTTTATATAATATAGTATAAAATTATATAATATTATAATATAACCCTGTTATATTATAATTATATAATATAATAAGGTATAACAAAATATATATATAAATATAAAAAATATAAAAAATATAAAAAAATTATAATATACACTTTATAATATATATATATATAATACTTTATATAATATAGTATAAAGTAGTTTGTTATATTATTATTTACATATTATTATATAATATAATAAGGTATAACAAAATATATATATATATAATTATTATAAAAAATTTATAATATACACTTTATTATATATATATATATATTATAAAGTGTATATTATAAATATTTATTATATATATAATATTTTATATAATATAGTATAAAATAGTTTGTTATATTATTATCTACATATTATTATATAATATAATAAGGTATAACAAAATATATATATATATATAAAAGATCTTTTATGATAAAATTCAATGGACAAAAGAAATTGCTATCTAAAATACATTTCCTTAATTATATTCGTGAAAATATCTGCAGTCTAGCAATCAATTATCTTAATAACGTCAGTCTTTCTAACTGGTTTTATTATTTACAGACGCAAATCTTCAAATGCCCGTATATAAGACCGTTTACTCGTTGCCGAAAGCCCCAGGATCGCAAATTTACGCGGCCATGCTTCAAAACGAGAAGGCTTCATTGCCGATTCTTCAAGTACGAAAAAGTCAAGAGCCACCTTCGTACGTATCCAGTTTGCAGAGCCAACCACTCGTTTTGAACCCTGTAGACCATCAGTTCAATTTCGCAGTCAGAGCACCGAAAGCAAACAGCGTGCAACCGAGCGCACCTTTTCTGTCGCCACTTTCCAGTTTTCAGGGTCAAGTGGTCCCAATTTCGGCCGCAGCCAACAACGCGCAATTTCCGCAATACAAAGGCGCCACGCTGGAGGTCTATCCAACTGTCAGTGGCTTTTCAACGATGGCTTATCAACCTGTCCAAACACAGCCACGGTTACATTTTCGGCACGATAACGTTCAGCCCGTGCAACCTGTTGACAATTTACGTCACTCCATGCCAGCGGAAGAAATTCGTTCCGACGTGGAGATCATTGACAAACACAAACCTCCGCCTCCGCCCAAAACCGACGACGACGACGACGACGACGACGATGTCGACGACGACAAGGATGACGCCGATGACGACGAAGGTACATATACATAACAACAAGATCATTTCCGAACCGAGATAATTTAAATTTCAACAGTGAATTCGTATCGGCAGGTTATGCACCGCCTGATAAACAATACGAAGCGAATTCGGAAGAAGAAGACGACTACAAATCTAATTCTGAAAGATACTTCAAGACACCACCGGTGCAAGGTAACTTTAAGCCTCCGACGTCGTTTCCTTTCAAGCAATACGATGAGAAATTTGGCAAATATTCAAGTCGTTATCGCGACGATGAGGTACCATTTTCCAAATACCATTACTCTTCGTCGAGCGATGACGATAGCGATGAAGAGGTACCAACTGGTAAATATAATACGGATGAGAAAAGTTTGTACAGTAAGCAAGAAGACGATGGTAATGATGATAGACACGAAAGGCAAAAGACTGAAGAAGATACGAATGATGATACGAATACGCCTAAATATAGAGAATTTGAAGCATCGTATAGAGCAAAGTCACCGAAACAAAGTAAGTATTCCTCTATAATTGAAATGAATGGAATGTAATGAACAAATGCATGAATATATGTTATTGTAGAATATATTTATTTGAAAGAAGCACCGGAAGTAGAGTATGGGTCGAGATTATCGAAAGGAAACAGGAACAACTACGAAGATTCTTCAGACCAAGCGAGTCAAGGAAATTTTAGGTATTTCAAGAATTTCCAGAATTTCAACGACGCTGAAGGGTATAGTTCTGATATTGTAACGAGTTTTATTACCTAGGACGACGCACGATGGAAAATTTGAGTATAAAGTATTTAAATGAAATATGGTAAACCTACGAAAGATTCCAATGATTTATCAAAATACATTTTCTATAGCTATCTCTCAATACACGTAATTTATCTAAAATTTTATTATGTTATTTATTTCATTATGTCTGTGTATGTATATATATATATACATATAAAACATAAATTTTTGTTGTAACTAAGATTGATAGATATTTTCTTCTTATTCGTAAGGAAATTGATTTCTTTTTTTTCATGTGAAGTGTATTGCTTACCGGAAATAAGTGTGAGACGTACGTGTACGTTACGTCTTGATAAGTTTCCCAGTATAAAAGTAATAGGTACAACGATTTCGATTTATTAATTTCCGATCGAGTAGCTAGTCTTCCGGCGACTAATTGCACAGCAATGGCGCTACGACCAATCGTCAAGCAACAATGCCTTATAATTCTCTTCAGTGGTATTCCGATTTTTGCACTTCCCTCTAATAGCCTTAATTAATTTTGTCATTACGTCGATATCGGCGAGGCGTTCTCTCCTGCGAATTCGAATCTGTATATATACTCGTTCTTCGAGTTGGAGAACTCAGTGTCATCGATGACATCGTCCACACCAATATGAAGATCGCCTACAGGGTAACAATCATTTCAAACCACGAGAGCCTTTCCTTTAAATCGTATCCGAGGTAACGCTATTCAAAAATGTTTCTTCTTTTCCTTCAGATCCTCGTTGTATTCGCTTTGGCCGGTATCGTGGAGCTGAAATCGTCATCAAAAAGGGAGAAAAAAAGCGTGACTATACTAGGACCATCTGGCTATGACTTTTTCGGAGTGGCGCCAATTTTTTCCACTGGTTCGTGGCCTCCGACCAGTTTTGGATCAGCTCTCTGGAATCCCACAGGTGTGCCAGACATTCCGTTGACGCAAGTGCAGGCTCAAGCGACGCATAACGTCGCTCTTCAGGTATAGCAGGCTAACGTACAGCCTCTTCAATCACGAGTGAGTCACACTTTTGTTCGCATCGTTGGTCTTTCGTTGATCACAGGCGTTGAGGGATCCAGTTAGTGGCACACCTAGCGTTGCGTATCCCCCGGACGTGCTGAAAACCATTCAACAGGCCAAGGAAGCAAATCAGAACGTAAATTGGGCGCAGCATAAAGTAGCAGAGGCTAAACAAGCTGCCATTGTTCAACAGAAGGTTGCTCTGGCCAAAGAAGCTGCGGCCAGGGAAGCTGCAGCGAGGTGAAACGCGCGCGTTTCTAAGCGCAAGACGCTTCTTGAAACGTGGCGGTAATCAGTTGTCAATTAATCGGCGCATTTGTCTGTTCCGATAGGTCGCAGGAGATTTCGTCAGCCGCCGAAGCCGAAGCCAGATCGAGCGCGAAACAATTGGTCGCCTTGCAACAAAGACTGGCGTCATTGAAGGACGCGGTCGCAGCTGCTCAACGGGTTGCCGCAGCAAGGGAGGCAGCTGCAGCCGCCGCCATTCAAAGAAACGCCGCTGCAACGGCTGCCGAGTTGCAGAAACAGGACGTCGACAAACAGATCAGTCAAAGCGAGCAGGAGGCAAAGGTGACAAATTGTTGATTAGTTTGCACGAACTTGAAGGAGGACAGGATCGGTGCACCGAGCTGTTGTTAATTTACAGGAGAAGGATATAATCGCCGCTAAGGAGAACGCCGTAGCGAACGCTGTACAACTTGCGGCATTGCAAAGATCAACGCATCATCCTTGGGCCCGATAAACACACTTTCCACGCGACGCAACCACGAAAGTTATCTTTCTTCTTCTATTCCCTGTTGTAGCTCCACGGTGATGGTTCGTTTCATTTTTTATTTTCGTTACAAATAAAGTTTGTTTCTCACACAATTTTTTCCGACTGATTTACCCGATTGCGTTGCGATCACCTGTACAGCGTGTCCATAAAGTCTCTTTACAATTTGAAAAATTTATTACAAAGTGGAAATTATTACAAATGAGACGTATATATTTAAGTTTTCTCTGTCATATTTAACGGAACTGGTCGTTACGTAGATCTTTCTAATTTCCATCCGGACCGTACCCTGCCAAATTCATTGTCAATGGAAGGCGTTAATTCGGTTAGAATGCTGCGTCCTTGTAGATTGTTTCGAGTTTGCCAAAATTGTATTAATTACTTTATCAGTTAATCGGTTCATTAGCTAATGTTTGTAGCTTATCGTGCATTCGACAGCTTTTATGAAACATCGCAGAAAATATAGAGAGTCCATGAAGTCTCCTTACAGTTTCAAAAATTTATTACAATGACAAATGAGGAGACAGACAAGTGGAAATTATTAAAAAATGAGACGTATATATTTAAGTTTCTTCTTTCTTATTTATAATAGCCCACTTCTATATGGGCGCCATCAAGACGGTATTCGATTTCTTACACGATACATGTTTTCCTCAGATGTTCTTGGTCGTCCACTTCTCCCTCTATCGAACACTGTCCCTGTCTCCATAAATTTATTGTGCCATACACGAATTGATGGACGTGACGGTGGATCTCTTCTATACTTATTTATTAATTCTGAAGTTTCGCTGAGTCTGCAGATTCGGTTTGGTTTCAATAAACCATGATACACACTGTGTCTCCTCTTGAGGAGTAGCCATTTTGTAAGGGGCTCATTTAACATCTTATTCATCAACAGGGTACCTGAAATGCAATGTGATGAAAACCTTGACAACCACTGAACACATAGAATAAATCTGATGAAGATATCCCATCAAATGCCTTTTGTACTAAATTTTTGAAATTGTAATGGGACTTTATGGACACACTGTACTTTGCCATATACGCAAATATATTCATTTTTACCACTGTACGTTCGCTATTTTATCATTGTACGCTTAATTTGCTTGATCAGCTCTTTATTAACCGAAAGAATCAATCTCTTGATACGTCATTGGTCATCTAACAAATATCAGTATCACATCCGTAAAAGATTATCTAACAACGCGTGATCGTGACACACTTGCCAGTCGATCGTCATGGCGGCTGCCTCGTTAAAAGCAATCGCTCCAGAGCGGCGTTGCTCCCTTTCACAAGACGCTGGTGGCGTTAAGTAGGGGTCAGGAACCTTCGTTCGAAATTCACCGGTTTCCTGAATCGGCGCGAAACAATGGTACGGCAGTTTGTCGTGCGCTCGTGGGAAGTGGTAGTGAAAGTGACGGTGATCCGCTTCACAGGAAGACAGTAACGGCAATCAAAGAAACGCAATGCCAGTGTGTAGTTACGTGCAGCGCAACGCCCAGCAGCCGACAACAGGGGAACAAACGAGTCAGATAAACTCGCTGCGTCGAATTTACCGGCGTGATTCCCTACCGGAATCCTTTCACTCGCCTCTCTTTCTTTGACCATCGGCGATACTCTCTTACGGTCTCCGCGATTCTGGTCTGGGCCTGCTCTGCTACCACGAATCAGGTGTAATTACGTGGGAAGAAAGTCGTTCGATCAAAGTCACTCTTTCTTGGCCTGGTGTCTTCCATAATCGTTCCCTGACCATTCACCTGGATAACGACCATTTCCGCCAGCGTTACAGGAACAGGACGAAAGGAATTGACCGACGTGCCCCTATTCCTCGCAATCGTCGAGGACATCTATTGTTTGGCGAATTTTACGAGACCTCCCCGTTTTTTGATGTTTTCGCAGAAAGGTTTCAAAGCATTCTTTCATTCTGATAATTATCCTCTCGCTCGGGCGAAGCTTTTGAACATGAGCTTTATCCCTTTATAGCTTATCTAGCTGTGTAGAAAGCTGGAGCGTCATACGGTATATACACGGTGTCCAGAAATTTACTAACCAGCGTTTTCTTGTACTGTTGTTGTTGTTTTTTGAGAAACGTAATGAAATTTTCTTGAACGTTGCATAATGTTTTTAGAAATGAAGATGATCTTCAGTTTTTCAAATGGACACTAGATGCTCTTTTATAAAGCGTATAAAAGCGTGTATTAAGACGAATAAAATGTACCAGGATGACTTTGAGGATCATACTTTGAGATCTGAAATGAAAGAAAAATTGTGAATATTTCGTATCATCTTATTTATTAATACGTAAAGTGATTTCGTGAAGTATCCAAACTTTTGATCTTGTGTGACCTTGAATGTCATTTCATAGTCTTTCGTATGATATAAAATTTTATTATATATGATAGATATAATAAATATATAATTATACATAAAATTGTATTATATATAATATATAACATTCCGTTTAAAAAGTTGGCGATTGTTTCTAAAAAGTTGCTTTCTAAAAGAGAAGAAAAGATGATACAAACACAAAGTAATTCAAATCATACTATTATGTTGCTTGCAAAAAAAACTATTCTACATTTTTCCTGATATTTATCGTTTAAAAAACAAACAGGTGGTATGTAAATTCGTAAACACCCTGTATGGCACAGTACTTATCAACGATTCCACCATTACCAAGGAGAACCACAATAACTGCTCTACGGGGAGATATAAGCAAGCACTTCTCCTTTCACATCGAACTGTCCAATACTTTCATCAAGGCTCTTTTTTTTCTTTTTTTTTTTTTTTAGAATCTACCGCGTTTTGCCTTTTACCTCACCCAGTTTTATTTGCTTTCCTTTCTTATTGCGTGGAAGATCGCGTTACTGTCAGTGAAACTAGCCGTAACTCGAAATTTTTTAACTATCGATGCCACGAAAGCGTTCCATCGTGTATTCGTTTCCAAAAAAAAAAAAAAAGATCAAGACGCTAACAAGTAGCTACGGATTATCAACTTTTTTCCTAACAGTTCGCAGCTGTTTCTATTTTGCACGCACTGTGAAATTTGCATGTATGCACCTTGGAAGAATCCTGGCGAAAAAATATTACCGTCAATGTCAATTTCCGTGGCGTTCGTTCCAATTTCTTTGGTAGTAGTCTCGACTTTCATACGAGAAATTCATGTGACATCGCAGAATAAGGCAAAACGGAAGAAAGAAGCCTACGAGTAGGAAAAGAAATCGATCTGAGCGCCGGATCGGTAGAGAGGATCGCGGACCTCATAGGCGTTCACCACGCTCACTACGCCGTTCTACGTTACTTAGAAAAATCTGACGACGGTGCATTCCCTCGGAATACTTCAAACAAAGGTGGTACATACGATGGTGTTATTTCAAGAGAGAGCTCGAAACTTACAGGAGCTGAGAATTCTCGATCTCGCGCACAAGACGCGCGAATGTCGATGTTTCTGCGATTTAAAGATGAAATATAATAGTGCACGTAGGAGGAAAATATCTGTTGCAACGGATGTGATTGTCATTACTAATTTCTTCCAATCGAGATCATTTGCCTTTTCGATTCCGTCACGCTACCGCGTCATGACGTGGAAAGTGAATTCTCAGATTGGAGAAGCAAGGGTGTCGAGTTGCAAGGCATATTGACGTGGACGTAAGTCTACTATTTCTTATAGTCCAGCGTTGTCTACAGTGTAGGATATGAATACGAGCATGTAAGTCCGGTTTTCGAGAGAGAGATCATCCGCGCGTCTGAAAAAGGGAGAGGGAGAAATCGTATAAAGAGGATCGGTCCAGCAACAAGCACTCGCAGTATACGTATCCGTTTCTTCATCCACTCTCCCATTAGTAGTTGAAAAATGCTTTCTTGGTCCTCTGTAAGTATCTGAAAAAAAGAGAAAAGAAAGAGGGGGGGGGGGGAAGAAAAAGGATGGATACGATCGATTTGATGGACCATACGTAGGTACGCGAACGAGAGGATCTCGAGTCTTGGGAGGCAGGAAACAGTGAATCGTGACCAAACGTTACACATCCTCTGCAAGTTCCGCCCGTAGCGCAAACAATGCCGGTGAAAAGTGAATATTGGTATTTGCGTACCTATTTTCTTCTGTACGCACCGACACGTATTTGCGACAGCTCGTAAACCCTAAAAGCTAACGACGTTCATCCCGCGCTTTATATTCATACTCCCGAAATGGAGTTACGGTCGTACTCTGTGGACATATCATCGCGAATATGTGATTCACTAGCATCAGTTGGCCGAGTTTAGAAAGTGCCGCAGCTGCGAACAATAGAATTTCGAACACGATGCCTGATTTCTCTCATCTCTACGTTGCTTGTTCGTGTTCATACTTGGTTCAGAAAATGATCAGAACCTCTCGACGACGCTCTCGCGCATTTAATTATTAACTGTTTCAGATATGGGTAACGCTCTTACTCGCGAAATTTACAGCAGCTAGTATCGAGAGTACGGGAGGTTGGCAAGGGTAAGGAAAATCACGAATCACCTTTAGTTTCGGCGTGCAATAGCAAAAGTAGAGAATTTAATGTTTAAATCGGACGTACTTTGATTGATAGAGTATCAGCGAGTAGTGACTACGGAACAGGTCACGGCGTAGAATTAGTTGGTTATGGTTCCTACGGCGATGGTGGATTTAATGGTTTGCACGGAGGACACATCCAACACCATTACGCTCCAGCCGTACCGGTGAGCCAACACGTGGAAGTTACCAAACCTGTGCCGATACCTGTCGTCAAAAACGTTGGTAAGTTTGCCTCATCAATTAAAATGTCGACGTTAATCGCTGTCGCAGATAAGCGTAGAACCATAGTCTAAAGTCTGTGCATCATGTTCGATCATTCGCCCAAGCAAAATTATAATTATACATTATAATATAACTGTAGTATATATAGTAATAATAACATATAAATATTATAAATAAATAATATTATAATAGTAATATGTAAAATATTATAGTAATATAGTATAGTATATTATAATATAATTATAGTATATATACTAATAGTAATATATAAACTATCATAGTAATATAGTTTAGTATACTGTAATTATAATATAATTATAGTATATACAGTAATATATAAATATTATAATAGTATTAAATAAAATATTATAGCAATATATTATAGTATATATGGTAATAGTAATAAATATTATAAATATAGTAATATTAATATTATAAATATAAATAGTATAAATATTATAAATATAGTAATATTAATAGTAATATAGTATAGTATATTATAATATAATTATAGTATATATAGTAATATATAAATATAATAATAGTAATATATAAAATATTATAGCAATATATTATAATATATAAATATTATAAATAAGTAATATTATAATAGTAATATATAAAATATTATAGTAATATAGTATAGTATATTATAATAAAATTATAGTATATATACTAATAGTAATATATAAACTATTATGGTAATATAGTTTAGTATACTGTAATTATAATATAATTATAGTATATATAGTAATATATAAATATTATACGTATATTATAATTATATATTATAATTTACGTTCTTATCACTCAGATTCATTCGTACAACACAATATTCGTATCATTCAAGTTCATTTGTGTTTCATAATTTACGCGAGCCGGACAAAGATCTGAATAATTAATTCGTCGCCGTAATTACTCAATTAGACTTTCTCTACGATTCTAGGAGTGCCGGTTGCTCAACCAGTGGCGATAGAAATTCCACATCCGGTCGCCATAGGGATACCGCAGCCTTATCCGGTTCACGTACCAGTTGCAAAGCCAGTTCCGATCCCCGTGGTGAAGACCGTGGCGATTCCTGTCGAGAAAAAGGTTCCATTTCCTGTGGAGAAGGTGATACCGGTCCCAGTGGAGAAACATGTGCCTATACCGGTAGAGAAACATATACCGGTACCCGTAGAAAAACCATATCCCATTCACGTGCCAGTCTACAAGCACGTGTACCATCGGGTGAAGTCGCACGGTTACGGATGGAATCGTTAGACGTTATAACATGGTGCTTTGAGGATACAAGCGTGTCTACAGATATGTTCGTAACACCAAGCGAGCGTAACTTCTGCGTGCGTATTGGCCAGTTTACGGCAAAAGATTACGATTCTCTTCCTCAAACGATCGATCGCGATACGGCTCTTCTTCGAGCGCACACATTGCACGAATCGGAGAAATCAACAGGACGTCACACAAGTATGACAGAATATCTCTGCTGTTGTTTGTATTTATGGTTCTTTTTTTTTTTTTTCTTTTTTTGTTGTCGCGTTATCGAATAAAATATTGATCTTTAATTAAACCAAGGCTTTATTCACTCTCTTTCCTCTGTAAATTGACGCTACTTGATCGATTACCATTAACCATCCATCAAAATTAAAAATAACAAGATAGTTTCCCGTTATTTCCAATGTGTAGAAAATTCTATTACCTTCTTTCGACTGAATTCGTTTAATAACTAGCTGATGTTACGTTACAATTGTCGCAGTAACAGGTAAAACGTAATCAAACTCTGAGATGAACGTATGTATTCTCCGAGTCGTCGAAATGATTATTTAACACCTGACAAGTAATCAAGAGTTGTTAATTACTGCTTCTCTGTTAATCTGAATAGATCACGAAATCCATTTTTCAAATTAAACAGACGTTGTAAGGATTTAAATGACAAGTTTTGTTATATTTCATTTACTGCTACTTAATTATCATAATTTTCTAGTTAGTAACGAACAGATAGCACTGTTCGTGATCCGAAGATGATTCGTTATGCTCCATAATTCTAATAAATTCCGAAACATGACGTAAGATAAACACGTGTATCAGATATCGCTGAATACATGATTTATGTCATTGCTTAAAACTGACATTAACATTCTTAATAAACGCAGATTTTCTCTAAGAAACATTTTAGTTTATTAATTAATATAAAGCGGATAATATGGTAATTAGTAATTCTTTTATACGTACAGGGTGTACGGAAAAATTACTAGACTTTTCAAGCACTTTTGATAGTGTAGATGTTTTCGGACGAGAATTAGTCAGTTACAAATTGTATCCTTTTTTTGATTAAAAAGCCAGAGTCACCTTGACTTCTTTCAATGGCATTATGTATTTTTGATTTAGTACCATTACAATTGATGTCAAGACGAAGCCTTAGCGGACAAAAATTGGAATTTGATTCAAAAATATTCATATAAGAAATTAGGTTTATATGTACATACATGTACATAGGTATGCATTAATGTTCGCCTTGCGCGTTAACGAAGAAATTTCCTACGTTTTAGATTAAATTGCCTTATAAATTATTCCGGTGTCGCTTTCAATAGTAACAAAATAATTACGACTGCGTTTAAAAAATTCATGTTTTGACTGATATTTACTTTGATAAATAAAAATTCTTATTTTACGGAATGAAAAGTATTTTAGTAATTTTCAATGCTACACTTTGTTGATCGTACGTGCATTACTCCTAAACATGTTATTGTTTGAAGTTTACAATATCATATATCGTTGATCTATAATATCATTCAGTTAGAATGGTATAAAAATCAAAAATATAAAATACCACTGAAAAAAGCCAAAGTGACTTTGGCTTTTTATCGAAAAAAGAATTTTATTATTGTAATTTGCAATTGAGGCAAAACTGACGAATTTTTGTCTGAAACATTTTTTGATTACATTATCCGACATGCTTAGAAACTCACAAATAGCACAAACATCTTGAATATTAAAATTATTATATTTTCAATTTTTCATTTGAGTTGTATAGGAATAGGTTTGCATAGTGGCCAAGTTAACAAAGTTGATGAAGCTGAGTTGACTAAGATGCATAGGAATAGGTTTACATAGTAGTGAGATTATTTGAACAATGTTTAACTGTTTACTATGATAGAATATATCTATGTACGTTGATATTAGTAATATATTGCACTTGTTATATAGTAATTTCTGGTTTTATTATTTATGGAGAAAAAGTAAATATTGGTGTTGACTTAATGTCTGGAAATAGATAAAACTTTATGTCCTATTTAATTTCTTATTGAATTTGAAGACAAGCTTGCTACATGTTTTTATTTCTTTATTTTTACACAATGAATTCGGTGTATGAATTTTTGGTAGCAATTTTTTTGGTAAATATTTCCAATTATATATTTATCAGTTGTTATCCAAATTTAGAAAGTGATTCATTTTTCAATTAATAGTTTGAGTAATAAAATTGATAATATTTATTAATATTTTTTACATGTAACATGTATCTATGATATTTGATTTTGATTTCATCAAATAAACATTTTTCCTCTTTACAACACATGAGGAGAAAGGACCAATGTATATTCTAGCATATTTTTTATTAAGTAACTAATTCAAACAAAAATTGCAAAATTTAAAAACTAGAAAATCTATCAACTTGCTCCGGTCTTTTCTACGACACTTGTTTCTATTTTAAAAAATTTTTTCTTTCCTATTTTTTAATTTGTTTGTTTCTCCGTTTTAAACTTTCTATTGATATTTTTTAGATTGCATGTTGTATCTTTTATCCACTCACATATATTTTTTCTTTATAATTCTTCGTTTGCAATTTCGTTTACACGTTTCATTCACATTCTACTCTTTCTTACTTGCGTATGTCTGCACGTAACAGAGCGAATCGATCTCTATGTCGCGTGTGCCATCGTGTGATGCACGCGGAACGTGTTAACTATTAGAAATTCTCGCAAGTGCGCGGGAATCGTGATACACTATGAACTCGCTAAACTTCGTGTTCCATGAAATCTGAAAAGAAAGCAGTCGTAATTACTTAATAAGAAAATTACTGAAACTCGTTAGTTGCGTTCAATTCAGAAAAAAGTTGAGAAATTGATCAACAGAATTAACGTGTTCAAAGTATCGAAATTTAAGTACAAACAAGAGACGTCTAAATAGTTTTGTCGCTTTTGAACGTATATTGACTTTTGAATGGTGGGAGCACCGTTCAGTGACAGACCGATGAAAATTGTGAATGTACGTGGACACTCACCTACGAATAGAGCAGAAAATGTCTAATTTGAACGGTGCTGGCGGACTTGCAAAAATGGCCAATACTTACGACGTGTTCGCCGGACCGATACCTGAGAAACAGCGATTTATCGCAGCGAAATGGACTAAACTACATCGCCGACAGTGAAAGGCTCGATGGTATATTAAGACGAGCAATGTGCAAAGATGTATCAGTCGCTGAAGAAACTTCTACAACTAGCAGCCAGGTGTGCAGTAACATGCGCCTAAATATGAACGAAATCGTGAGTAAAGAATTCGGAAAATTCTCGTTTCCACGCGATTCGTACGAATTTACGAATTGAACAAAGTATCTGAAAAATCCATCGACATAGCGCCTAATATGTCGCTCGTTTCTCCAGTATATTCGTTCACCGTGACTCGTTAACGATCTGAACAAAACCTTCATTTTCAACAACAGCAACAAAAATAAAAAAACTCCATGTAACATCGTTTAAAAACGAATGTTTCGTCATCACGTAAACTTTATACCTCGTTCGACGATCGGTTAATTGCAATTCTAACATTCGCGCTGGACGTTCCAACTAAATTTATTCACAAAGCAGCGATACATTCTCTTTCTGAGCGCAGTCTGTTGTCAGCCAGTCGACATTCAAATGCACATTCACTAACGTGAACTTTACCTTCGACGTAGGTGCTACTTTCTCTGGTGTCCTTGGTCGCGAGCACGCCGGTGATCGTGCACCAGGATGAAAATCAATTTTATCCTCAATTGTACGGTGGCTTCCAACCAGTTGAAAGATCCGATCAAGAAGGCCACGGGACTTCCTCGGGCGGAAGTTACGGTGGTGACTATGGTGGCAGCTACGGTGGCGGTGACTACGGTGGTGGTGGCACTGGCGGAGAATACGGTGGCAGTTATGGCGGCGGCGGCGGTGACTTTGGCGGTAGTCATGGTGGAGGCCTGGAGGAGTCCTCTGGTGGACACTTGGAGGCCGGCGGTGATCACTTCAGCTCAGACTACTCTTCTTTAGGAGGTGGATACGAGGGTGGAGACGAAAGTGGAGTTTCCCTCGACGGAGGTCACAGTGTAGTGCATAGCGTTCCCGTGTCCGAGCATGTTGAAGTAACGAAGCCCGTACCGGTTAAAGTGATCAAACATATTGGTACGATTTTTTTTTTTTTTTTTTTTAAGAATCTACGTGACATTTACTTGCAATGTACTTTATATGTATATTTTGTCGTTTAGGGGTACCGGTTCCTCAGATTTTGAAGATAGGCGTACCCCATCCAGTGCCAGTTGGTGTTCCTCAACAGTATCCGGTGGCTCATCCAGTTCCAAAATTGGTTCCTGTGCAAGTGATAAAAACCGTCGCCGTGCCTGTGGAGAAGAAGGTCCCATTCCCCGTGGAAAAGCATATCCCAGTACCAGTAGAGAAGCCGATCCCTATTACGATCGAGAAGCACGTGCCAGTGCCGGTCATCAAGCCGTATCCCATAAAGATACCCGTATACAAAACGATCTACCACCATGCGAAGAAGCATTAAACTTTAACGACTCATTATGAAATGATACCGACTGATACCGAAACGACGGTGCACACGCTTTTCCTCTGGATTCGGTTCCAAATTGAACCACGCTGATGGAATCGCATTTGTTGATTGTTGAAGCTTAATGCATAGCCAATTAATTTTATTGTTTTTATTATGTATATATGAAACATTGTTGCTGTACATTTTGTAATTTTATAAATGTTCTCGTTTGTAATTTTATAATTGTTCTCGTTTTTCAATAAAAAAGAAAGCCTTGAAAATAATATACGCACTTTCCGTTATTTGAGTGAGAAAGTTAATCTCCGCAAATTTTGAACCAATTTCCTCGCGTGTTTGTACTATCATACGTCAAACGTATGAAGAATGAAAAAAAAAAAAAAAAACAAAAAGATGAAATTGACGTAGTTGCACCTTGCAGTTAGCTGTAGTTTAGATCACGGATGAGCTTTTGCATTTTGAAAAGATACGAACAGGCATCCTTAGAGAGAAATCCAACAAGTCGAATTGAAGAAACTTTCCATTTAGGATGAATTGAACTTTTCTTTTTAGTTTTGTAGATAGTAGATAGAGACGGTCATCGTACTTCGCCGATGTATCCGATTTAACGCGCTCGAGATCATAACTTTCACTAATATTTCCGATGCACCTTTCCGTGGAAAGTGAATGTTTGCAAATGCACTAGTTCAGGATGAAAAGGAACACTTGATCAGCAAATGAAGCGTGAAGGCAAAGAAAGTCTGCCAAAATGACGGGCGAGTAATCTTTACCTAATTATTACCGCATACTTGATTAAACGAGATTTATAGGAACTAGCATGGTCATCGCTTTCTTTGATGTCAAAAACAATTGAATTTAAGATACTCGTAGAATTAAATAAACGAACATCAAACTATATATGTTTTAAAATGTATGTAACAAGGAATGCGTGAATATAATTAACCTTCCATGATTTTGTAATATACATTGTAATATTGTACATATTGGATAACAATATACTCGTATGAAACTTTTATCACATATACATCAGGTATATATATGTCGTATAGATATCCATTTATGCACACGATATTCAGTTTCGTCGTCCTGATTTTACATTTTACTTTCATGATCATTATCTGAAATCCATTAGCGTCAGCACATTTTACATATAATTAATGTATCGGGCGATTAATCGACATCAGGAAGTAGGAAGTATCCCGGTGATCCGCTGTAAAATGTGTTCGAGGTATACGTTCGACCGTGATTTGATTGCAAGTGGATATAAATGAGCGGGCAAGGAAACACGCAATCATCAAGTGAATGAATGAGACTAAGAAATCGCGTTAAAACAAGGGGATTTGAATAAAGTTGAGCATTGTCCGGTTCTAGCAAGGATGGAAATCCTGTATCACGTAATTGTTCTAGTACATACAATGTTTGGAGAAATAGAGAAACGTAACCCGATAGTGAAGGTGTCGAATAGAATTTCGCATGATAGTGGGGTTGCTTGTCCCTTGCAGAGCAGTATATAAAGTGACTACGCTAACAATTTGTCTCGAGTTGATGTTTTATTCAACAAGCACGCACGTGTACTGAACGAGGGAATATGGAAAAAATCGTACGTCAGTTCACCATGCGACATTTAAACTCATGCTAATAATCAATATTGAAAGCGTCGACTCGACAAATAAACTTCCTCGATACATCTTTCCTTTTCACAAGCTTTCTTAACATTTTTATTTTCAAGATCGTAATTTTGACGATCGTCGCCTCCTGTTGGGCCAGCGAACTGGAATTTGGCGGTTACGGGCTAACTTTGGGAGAAATCGCCGTGGACCACGAGGAGGAAGGATTTGGCCTCGGTGAATTAGGTTCAGTTGACGTTATAAATATTATTCGTATGTTTTAACACCATACGCTCGAAAAAACCGTGTTTTATTTTATCATATCAGGTGGATCAGAACACGAGATTAGTTTAGCAAGTCATGGGAAAGGCGGACATTATATACCCGTGGTGAAAACAATCGGTACGTAAACTAATGTCAACCAAGCGTAGTATTTTATACCATATTTGGCTTTATTGCAACAGGAATACCAGTCGCCAAGAAGGTTCCTCTGTTTATACCGAGTCTGCAGATTGAAAAAGTTCCACAGAATTATCCAGTCCCGGTAATCGTGAAGAAACCTGTTCCTTACCAGGTAGATGCTCTCGATCAAAATTTGACTCGCTCTCTCAGCTGATTTTCTTGACATTCAACTTGTTGAAATAACATTCGTTTGTTCTTAGGTGGAGAAACAAGTATTTACGAAGGTGGAGAAAAAGGTACCCACGCCCATCGAGAAAATCATTCCAGTGAAAATTGAGAAGCCTGTACCGTTCCACGTAGTGAAACACATTCCTGTCCCAGTGGTGAAGCCTATTCCAATTAAGATTCCAATTCACAAAACAATAGTGCACAGTCACAAGGGCCATTAAACTGTGAAATTACGTTGTTAATTGTTTTTACGTTAATCGTTAATGGCAGCGTTGGAATTGCAGCCTCTATATGTTCCATATTTACATATCTTGTCTTGTTATTCCTTTTCTTTTTTTGTATCTTGAAATGATTTATTAATAAATACAATTACATAAATTACACGTGAACTGTTCTCACTTATTTTTATACATTATCTTTCCTATTAAAACAGTGTAATTCTGATTTCGTTAATTACTTATTTTATTATTTCACTCATTTATTTATGTGTCGTATGTTTTACAGTTTGTTTCCTCGATCGTGAGAACAGATGCGGAAAAGTTGACGCGATATTATGTTAATAGAATGTTACAATTGGGGATGGAAGGCGCCGAGGAGAAAGGAGAATGTCGCACGTTCAAGACATTCGCAGCGAAAGTCATCATAATGATTGCTTTCCTCTGTCATTGACCTTTGTAAATTCGACTGTGACGGCACAGGCGGAATTCGTTGAAAAATGTACGTTCACGAGATGAAAGTGAATGTACGAAATTCTCAAATGTAAAACGATCAAGTGTTATCGAAAAGCGAAGAAGCAAATTCAAAGTCCACTTTCATTCCCCATTTTTTTCGTATAGTACGAGGGATAACGAGAAATCGATGTCCGACCCATAAACTATAACCATCGGATGCTCGGAAGATCCGCAGTAAGCGAGCGCATCGTTTCTCTATCTTGCAAGATCGCATTAGCATAGTAACATGCTCGCGATAAAGAATAAACTGGAGAAAGATGTTGAAAGAAAAAACGCGATGCGGAAGAAACTAAGGCGAAAGTGAGACATGAAAATAATCTGTTATTTCATTGACCCGAGTAAAAGAAGGAAGAAGCTGCTAGAACACATTGTGCAGGAACGAAAAATCGTACGATAGGTAATTATCTATCTCATTAGAGTCTCGTTAATGCGTCACGACATTTCTTCTTCATAATTAATTAAATTAGTTTTTGTTATTTTTACATTGCAAAAGAAGGAACGAGAATGGAAGATCATCGAGAGAAAAGAAGCTTAATGTTTGAGAAATAGAATGGAAATAATATTGCTTAATAATTCTAATATTGCGGCAGTTCAAGATCTTTGATCTTACGTGTTAGCGTAAAATAGTAGCAACGTTGATTGTTTTTTCTTTTTTTTTTTTTTTTGCATTTCTAAACACGATTCTACTTTATTACTCGCATTGTTCCTTCGTAACAATCGATGTTATCTCTAAAAAATAGTTGAAATTGGTGGAGTTAATTATGTGCATACGAAGAACTACAAGACTTCCCTCTCACGATCCCTTTCGCGCGCCCCTCTCGAACATCATTTCCGGTGGGTTCTTTACGATAGCTCGTGTGTTAGAAACAAGATGAAGAAAGCAGTGAAAGAAGAAGCGGTTGCTGCAAGAAAATGTTTTCCTGCGAAAGTAAAATTGAAGCCTGATTATGCGATCTATGCTTAATATCTTCTAAAAAACAGAAACTCGCTTTTATATATTAAACCTTATAAAGATAACGTTAGGGAAATTTGCCTATACTCGATGTAATCATTATTTTATGTAACTTATGTAAAACGAATGTTTCTTTAGAATTATATTCTTATTCCATTAACAGTGTTACTTATACTCGCATCTAGGAAATAATCAAACGTTCACTTTGAGCTGTACATTCGTCAATGTGCTTTCCCTATAAAAGAAACTAAAAGAAAAACGGAAAATATAAGGACTGAACGAAGGCTTGCCTGCTGCGCAGAATAAACGTACGTCGATTTACATTTTTAATACTTTGACATTCGTGAAATTTCTCTTCGACTTTTGATAGATAAATTGGAACAAAAACACGTAGAAAAGTTACTTTCGCTTCCTCGGATGAGTACGCTTCGATCGAATTTTTTCTCTACAAAGTGAGGTACAAAAGAGGGTCGTGAGTGTTATTAAAACCGCAACTGAACTTTGAACGTTCAATTTCTAAGGTGAGCCTCGTTATTACGCGCGCGAGATTCAAGGCATATCGAAAGCGTCGATTCGACGTTTCGCCTGACGTGACAAGCATCGCGTGCCATTAACGAGATGGTGCGCCGCTTAAAACAGCATCCGCGTCCGTGATAAGTAGGCAAATAAATCAAACTATTAAAAGGCTGATTAAATCGCTTTCGCTTTTAAGAAGATTTGCACGACGTAATTAATTTCGCCCCGAACGAAGTTTAATAGGACGAGCAGCAAACTGTAACTTGTGAGTTTAATACGAACGCTGTCTCTATATTTGGGATGACGGGAATTTGCACAGAGGAAGCAAGCAATGTACTCTCGGAAATCCAGCCGAAATCCGAGACAAACTTTCCACCGAGAAATGATAACTCTCTGATTCTAATGGTATCACCGTATTATAGTTATATTATCCGTATTCGCATTCGTATTAAACTTGTATCATGATTTAATTGTTCACTTTTAATTCCTCTCTCTTTCTCTCTTTCTTTGTCATCGTTAATTGAGACTTGATAGCGAGCAACAAAAATTTAAATTTGTAAGCAGCTTTCTCCAATTTTGGTTATTTCTTTTTCTTGTTTTATGCCAGATGGCTCCATATCGTAGAATTTGAGATCTAGCATTTCTTTTTATTTGTATTTTATTAAAAAACACGGAACGTGTTTAAAAGTCAAAAATGGGAAAAGCCACTGAACCATAAATTTACCAAATTGCATCGTGACACGCGTTAAGCAATAAGACGTGCAGTTTAAGATTTAATTCACGATTAAAATAAAAAGCTAACTGAAAATAGTTTAGTATTTCCCTAAAGTGTAGGAAAAAGTATAAATCGAGGAAAACAACAGACACACTTTCTGCTCTCGCCTCTCGATCAGCATACCTCGTCTTTGTGATAAAACAGAAATTCACTTTTACAGGAACAAAGATCGGCGTGTCCGATCGGTTTTTTCATCAAGAATCCTTTCACAAGGCGAACGCGTTTGGACTTTCATGTTACTGATCCGAAAACTTTTATCCACTTTAAGTATCTTTACGTCAGAGATCGCTTCTCACCTTCACTTCCGGTATACCTGAGATTTATAGAATGATCGAGCACGAAGCAGAAATCGAATTTCAAACGACTTTGCATACAAATCGGACTGTCCGAAGAAGACGAGTATAACTCACACGTGTACTTAATGAGCTTCATCATGATGATCCTTTTAGATATTTATTTCCAAACACGAGCGAATTAGCTCTGTGAAATTTTCGTGACCGCACAAGGCATTCGTGTTTCCGGTAAACGTAGCAATTGCGAATTTGCGGTTGTATCTAGAATCTTCCGCTTTACCGATCATTGCGCTTCGAGGCATCAAGCAAAGTTTTACTCTACATTCGCTCAATTCCTAAATCCTGGAAACACTTAGATTCATCTGTTGATAGATGGGACAACATTTAAAAAACGTCAGCAATGCACCGGCACAATTTTTTCATCGAAGCGTCATTTGGTAAAAAAGAAAGTGCAATCCCAACGACGAGATGCTTTTATGCACTTCCCACGTCCGTAAATCCACACGTAATCTTGACTTCCGGCCAGCCATAGACGGAGAACGGTCAATGAGCCGCATGAAAAATAAAACAAGGACCTTTCATATTCATTAACGATGCATAGAGTTCGTTTGATTGGTAGATGGTAAAACGTAATTCGATATACCTATGCTGGAAAGGGTCGAGATTGTAGTGTATGGAATTAGTGAAAGGTGGTGGAATCGATGTTAGTATATAAGCTCGGTATTCCATTGGCTGTAGACATTCAACGCTTTGTGCTTAAACAATAAACATATCCTTTCTGGACCTACAACTATGAACCAAATTGTAAGATCTATGCGACAACTGTGTAACTTTAAAGACAGTAGATACATTACGTAATAATAGTAGTTACCTTAAATTGATTGAAAATGTAAATTATATGCTCCTGATAGAAGAAAATTAAGTAATTACTTCATGTATCCCTTGGCTTCGATTGGCCGCTGAACGGAGAACAGGAATGATAAGTCGTAATGTAATTTAAGATTATCAATCGAATGTTGATAGATTGCTTTGCTCGGTTTCGCGGTGATAGCTGGGATTGTCTCTGCGAGCTACGATGAAGATCACGGGACCTCCACCTACGAAGAAAAGACGAAGCCAGTAGAAATTCCAATTTACAAGAAATATGGTAAATACTTATATACAAACGAAAGAAAAAAAAAACTGCTTGCTTCAAATGCATAATGATGTTTACTCGTACAATTGCAGCAATTCCAATCCCTCATCCGGTGCCAGTCGAAATCCCCCAGAAGATAGAAATTCCAATTCCCCAACCGCAACACGTTCCCATCGAAATTCCACACCCTTATCCGGTTGAAGTCGTAAAACACGTCGAAATCCCTATCGAAAAGCCAGAGCCCGTTGTCGTTGAGAAGCACGTAAGTAGAAACATCAAATTATCGAACAGTGATGAAGCTACCGTTGTTGGACGTTAGATCGCGATAACTATATCACGTGTCACTATATCGCACATCGTGTCTATTCAGGTACCTTTTGTGGTGGAGAAGCCGTATCCAGTGTACGTCGAAAAGAAATTTCCCATTCCAGTCGCCAAGCCGTATCCAGTTCATGTGCCAGTTTACAAGCACGTATTCCATTACACTTCGAAGGGCAAAGGATGGCACTAAGTTGATTCGCTCGCTGCTGAACACTTGGGAATTGTTCCTCGTCGGATTGATCGTTTTACGAGAAAGCTGCTTCTCACCTGAAATCTAAACTTATTCCATTCAGTGAATAATCGTTTAGGTTACCCCGCAATGGATACTAAGAAAAAGGGACACGAGACTCGAATCTTGACTTGTTAGTGTTTAATGTTGCCTTTGTTACAAAATTTGTTAAGTTTCCCAACTCTCTGCCAACTCTTTGTTAATAAACCATATTTGAAAAATACCTCTTGTCTCTTTGTTCATTCTGATAGTCGAACCAGCTCGTCAAACGAGTAGCAATGAAATTAAACTGCAACAATAGTCGTGGTTACCGGCCTGGGGGGAAAAGATTGATGGTCTGGTCTCTTCCTGTTTCAAGCGGCCGCTTGAGGAATAAAAAGGAAACGCGTAACCATAAATTTCGTTTCTTCGTCATCCGGTGTTACGAATCTGCTAGAAACGAACCAGTCACCAATAGGAATTCTACGCGATCTTGATTCGCCATAATGAGTCCGACAACAGACGCGTTCCTACATCGCGGCACAAAACCACTTTTACTTGAGATACACTTTCACTGTTCCGCTTGCTGATACGGAGAATATCATGGAGGTATACAATTCGAATCTTCCAGGCAACTTCTCTCCCATGATCACAGCTCTGGTATATATATACACCAGAATGTATATCACAGCTTTGGTGTATATATATATATATATATATATATATATATCGTGCTAATCTACGTTAAATATAAATATCTCTATCCTGTTAATGCAGTTGCATCTCGAAAAATTTACATCTACGGCCTACTATGCACGAAACTTGTTAGATTCTTGTTTCATTTTGAGTAAACGTATACAAATGTTGAAGAAAGAAAACGTGAAGCTTCATTGGAAAGTCCCATTTCCTTTCTTCAAGATGATCGATGGAGATTCGATACACTGCGCGTACAATTACGCTAAGTATATATACATATATACGTACATGTGCGTAAATTATTAGGTTACAGGTGTTGTTCGACATTAAACTTAATGCCCTGGGATTAGGGAAATTCTGTTTCGTTAAAAGATTTACATAATTTTACGTGGATAATATAAATTGCTAAAGATCTCTGTAGAAAATATGCCAAAATTACAGTGAAAAAAGTTCTTTGGAAATTGCGTGATGCACTATCTCAATCTTAAATCGTTAATAATAAATTGTTGAGCATAGGAACTAGACCATAACCGAGTTACATTTAGCTCGGCTCACTAAACTCATTCTATGTCTTTTGCGTTTAAAATAAAACGTTTAGACGTAAAATAATCAAAAAATTTTCGCTCCGATTTATATTACTCAATATCAAGGAAATTTATAATAACGAATTATGTATCGTCCTTTGTGCAAATTGTGCAAATGAAAAATATTGCTCCGTTTGATACCCATGATATCTGATCATCGATCCACTAACAGGACAATCTAAATCTGCAATGTAGAAAGTTAAGTTTTTTTACCTTCAAAATTGCTGTATAATAAATTTATGGTGTGTGAATGATAGGAAGTACGAGGAGTCAGCCATAGGCAAATATAGTATATGCGTGTAGACAATCGTAGAGATCGTACACATGTACGAATAACTTCGCAACAGGCAGAAAGAGTAAAGGTAATGAAGAGAAGGGAGAAAGTGACTGTGGTATATAAGAACTTGGCCGTGACTTTGAAAGCATCAAAGTGATCGTAACGAGTTAACACGACGGATTGCCGAGGATTCGTTCTAGCGTCATCATCAGGTGTGGAAGTCATGAGGATTCTTGTAAGTTTTAAATCAAATGTCGTCTCAAACAACAGAGATTTTCATTGTATGTAGTAATAAAGTATCATTATCATAATTTCCAAGAACTAACAAATACAATTTGTCGAACTATAGATATTCGCCGCTTTAGTTACGTTGGTGTACGCCTCCTACGAAGAGGACCATGGCAGTTCCACCTATCACGAAACCTCAAAGCCTGTGGAAATTCCCATTTACAAAAAGTACGCCATACCAATTCCACATCCAGTTCCAGTCCCAATTCCACAGCAAATTAAAGTTCCCATTCCGCAACCGTATCAAGTCGAAGTGGCAATACCGCATCCAGTGCCTGTGGAAGTCGTCAAGCATGTCGAAATTCCAGTAGAAAAGCCTGAGCCCTATGTAGTGGAGAAAAAGGTACGATGTGAGATCAAATCTTTTACTTTATATTACGTTCAATCGTTAGAGGTTCGATATAAAATACTTATGAGATAAATATTAGTGTCATACAAAGTACAACCAATGATTCTACGTCAAAAGTAAATAAAATTTTCTCACTCGAATCGTTATTTTTGAATTCAATTTGATTTTCTTGAATCTTTTTTTTTAATTCCAATCGAACTTGAGAACCAAGCCTTAAATGAAGAATGAATTTTTTTCATTTAATGTCATCACCTCTTTGAATGTACCTTCAACACTGAGTCACCCTATATGCAGCCTCGCGAAACAATTTTAATTTATATCGTTAGAAATATAGCAACGAAGTCTGACTGTTTTAATATGATGTTATGAAATTTCATTCTCATGATATATAGCATAAAATTACTTACGTTCTGACCTCGTTGTACGTACATACATATTGTAGTTTGGAGATTATATTGTACAAAGAGATTGCTAAAATATTAATATTAATATCCCGCAGGTGCCGTATATTGTTGAGAAGCCGTATCCAGTAACAGTTGAAAAGCACTTTCCAGTGCCTATTCCGAAACCATACCCAGTGCACGTACCTGTCTACAAGCATGTATTCCACCATCAAAGCAAAGGACACGGTTGGAAGCACTGATCTTGGGAACTACTCTTCCAAATTTCAGACAATTAGCCAAATATACATATATATAGCAGACATTATGACTTTTGTACATAGTTCACTGTTTTTATAATTAAACTATTGTTATATTGTTTAAATAAATTGTTTTTGTTTTAACAACGTCGTTAATTGTTCTCCCCTTGTTCAGCTTGATTGATGAAATCAATTGGAGTGTCTTGAAAGTACACAAGTTTAATCGAAAGTTCATGCAGCACTAAGTAATTGTCTCTGTTAATTTGTTCGTTGTTTTTTACAATACTCTTTAACCAGGTCGGTAAAGATATGACAATGTCTCTATCAATCCGGAGACTGTTTTACTCAGAAATAATTATTTTCTAACCCGAGGGAAGTAAAAATTCAGTGTTCTGTAAGAAGCTCGTTATAATTTAGTCGTTTTACATTTTCAACAATTGAGTTCTTTTAGCGTTCGGATCATTAATAATTAACTACCGTTAATCCGTTCACGAAGCAACTATGCATCTTGTACGACAGACGTATCGCAATCACAAATCAATCACGAGGTAATTTGCGTCGAATGGAAATAGCATCGAATGACAATCCGCGGCAGCGATAGAGACATGTATGTATACATTGAATAAGACCGTAGAATATGTCCGAGGCGAACAAACTGTTTCACCTTTTCGCGAATTTCTGCAGGCAATACCCGAAGCGATCCAATCTGTTACGAGGCTTGCCCTCCGGTTTTGTCGGTCAAGAAACCGACCAATGACTAGCGACGGTGTGGTAAATGACGAACGCCGGCCTAACGACAGCGACATAACAGGGCTGTTCGCCCGAGGTGCACAATTTATTCAGGAAATACCGGGGCGCGATCGCTTGCATCATTGGCTCGGCTGACGGCCGCTTAAGGGAATCACATTCGAGTTAGGTCCACAAGAAACTTGCCCTGCTTAAGTGTAGCAAAAGTTTATAAAACCAGCGGCCACGTACAACACGCTTTTAGTTTCGCCTAGGACATTAGATCCGACGTTCATCAAGAAGATCGTTCAACCTACGCTGAAATCATGTTCAGATTACTGGTAAGCAAACGGACAAAGGAAACTCGTTATCCTTTCAATTTCGTTAATCTTTTTTTTTTTTTTCACGCGCGTGAGATATCCTAGCTATCGTTTCTCGATTTAACTTGCACATTCTCATGATATTTATGTGATCTCCAGATACCGTGTCTGATATGGCTGTCGAGCGTTCGTTCCGAAACTACAATGGACATGCACATGCACATGCCGGATGGCATGATGGAGGACAAAGCGGCTATGAAAAGGGAATCGTATTATAATCCGTGTCCTCCGACTTACTCGCATCCCATCTCGTACTCGCCGCCCCCGCAAATTTACGTGAAACCGTACGTGCAACCAGCGCCGGCGCATTATATCCCGAAACCGATGATCACCTACGTGAAGCCATCTCCACCTCCGGTGATCGTGAAACCAGCACCGGTAATCGTTAAGCCAGTCGCTCAATCAAAAGTGGTTTATCCGATCTATCAGAAGCCGATGGTGTCGTATGCGCCGATCTACCAGAAGCCCGTTTACTACGCGCCAATGTATCAAAAATTGATGTACCAAGAGCCGAAGGTGTATTTGAAGAAATACGAACTACCGGTTACTCAAGTGATTCAGAAACCTCAAATTTCATACCCAATTCAGTACCATCAGCCGAAAGTGGTGCAGGTCCCGGCGCCGCAGATCAATGTTGTGAAGCTCGCACAACCCGTTGCACATCCGCAGCCTATTTACCAATCGTCCATAAAACCGTACTGCCCTTAAAAGACGATTCGTGAACAAATGTCACGGTGCGATTGCAGCGATCGAGTCGATCAAACGTATAGCTCTCTCGAGAACGTGCTGAATAAGCGGAAGACACCGCGAGACTCTTCGTCCCATCGAAACGACCATATCACGACTGTCTTTAACCTGCCATAACGATCAACGTAGTCAAGCGTAATTCAGCGAAACTTCCGTTTCGCAAATTGTACAATAAAAACGAAGGAAGTATCAATCTTGCTGTTGAATGTACTCACCCCGTCCGTTCGTCTTCCAACTTTCCCCTTTCCAGCGATTTCGTAATCTCACCGCGAGCGCTTCTTCAATATCGCGAAATAAGAGCTCTTGGCGTGACTACGACCAGATTGAAACTCGTTAAAAGCTTATGCCCGCGCCGTTTACCATGTAGAGCCGTTTGAAACGTAAAGTTTCGATAGCCGACTAATTTTCGCAAAACTTCCCGAACCTTTTTCAGCCGACGGTACGAGATGCTGACCTAAAATTTCATAACAGACCAACGTTCTTTCCCGCAACACGGGATTACGGGTCTGAGATTGCCTCTCTCGAGATCTTAATCCGTCGATCCGTGGAAACTCATTTTCTCATGAAAGTTTTCTCGATTATTCTGGCAAACCGAATAGCATTATCGTTGTTTTTAGGGTCGTGTATAATCAGCTTTCGTGCTCCTCCTCCATCGATTCTCAGACGGCGGTTCTCGGCAAACAAACTTTGCAATCTCGACAGACAAACTTTGAAATTCATTACACGCGGTGAAACTGGTTTTCCACTAATTTCATCATCGATATTACAGATTAAGCGCACTCTTTTTATAGTACACCATCGTATTTTCTTTTTCAATTAATATGATTTAAGATGCAGGAGAAATGAAAAGCTATGCAGCGATTGATCAACGACGAATTCCCACGTATTTGTACTTTTTTCTCGGACAAATCGATTGCGTCAGGTCGATGCTTGGCTTAGTCTAAGTAAGGAATTAATTACGAGTTGGTCATGGCAAACTGATCCCCGATCCCCGATTATTTCAAAGAACGGCTATTTCCTCACCACATTCGCCACAACAGGCAATTCTGTTACGCAAGTCGCAGTAATGGAACGTATCGCTGCGCGGTTTTTGTAATCGCCAGCATACGGGGGTGTAATCTTCCAACTTTCTTATTTACACGGGTTGTCGAAATACTATGCCAATGTCGCATATAAAACGAATGTTTGCAAGGAAACTCCTGCAGTCAAACTTTTAAGGATCACAGGATAATTTACAGACCCTGCAATGAGATACTACGTAAGTAGCACATGTGACATTAATTTCGATGCGACTTGGACAGAATTTAGTTGGTTCGAAGTGTGACGTCCTTTATTGTAGCTGTGTCTCTTGATCGTTGCCGTTTGCGGGGCAGCGAGAATACCCAGAGTGACTGAACAACCGTATTTCCCGGTATTTCAAAACATTTATGCAAACCACAATTATCAAACTGACTCAGTGAATAATCATGTTGGTGAACCATTTTTTGAAAACTATAGAATACAAGATGGAAATATAGGTGCAGGAAATGAGTTTTACGATCATCGAACGTCCATCGACGGTCGAGCAAATTTCGACGATCATTTGACAGGAGGTAATAATAAAATACTGTTAATAATTCCTGACCACTATCGTGTTAATAATTCCTAATTCTCTCGTATTTCAGTTCCTTTCGAAGATTTTAGAGGTCACAACGCTGGTGCTGTCCTCCAACATTATGAACGATTTAATCATGCACCTAATTACGATTATCAGTTGTAAAAGTTTCGTCAAGTATATATTAATTTGTCATAGATCGAATTTAATTAATGCTGCAAACAGGTCGAGCTAGCAATTTCTTTATTTCTTCTTACTCCTTTATATTCAATATATACACAATATATATTGAATAACATATGGAATAATATAGGTTAATATAATAATCTGTGTAAATAACATTATTAGAAAGAAAACAACGACGTGATAATTATCATGCTAGGCTCTCTTTTTGTTCGATTTTTTTCTTTCCCTTTATGTACAATACTATGTTTTGGCTCACGGCGTTACGATTTTGGACCATACACACGAGGGCACTGCTTCCTGATGGGAGGAAAAAGAACGTATCCCGAAAACGAGTACCTGCTCGATCGTGACTGAAGATCGTTCGACAGTTGGGGCGCTAATATTCTATTCGCGGCCGGCGTATCATCTATTAACTATGTCCGACCGTAAAAGCATTGTTTAAAGTAAAATATAGCGAAGGAATCGTCACGGGGACGATAAATTCCTTTTGGCATTAGGCATGAAATACACGCGCTCGTACAGTCTCTCATTTTTTTTTCTCACGCACCCGATACGATAGAATTCGGTAATAGCGTTAACAATCGAAAAATATTGAAATCGATGAATCACACGGCACGCTCGATCCGTATGATCCGTTTTCTCATTTATATCCTATATATGTATAATAAATATATATATAATATATATATATATTTATTAATATAAGAACTTGACTAGATCACTTTAGTTTTTATTGACTCCCTTATTTAGTCTAGGTACTTGCTCGTGTGACGACGGAAAGTATGAAGTTACAAGATGCTCTTTTTTATAAAAAAATATTCAGGAGAATGAACTAGAGTACGATTAACGCGGTTTGTCTGTTGCTTCCGGTTCCCATGATAACTGAGAACGATAGCTAACGAGGCTTGATCCCAATTCCAGTTGTAATTAACGATAGGAGCGGATTCTCTGAACGCAGCAGCATCTTAGTTTTTTTTGCAAGCTTTACAAGTCAATCTGTCGGCCATTACACGTAGCATTCGGTTTTAGGGGCCAACTCATATTCCATATCCTCGTTGTTGTACATATCCATAACCTGAAACAGGTTACTCGAAATACATACTTGATACATTTTCTATCACAGCGTTCCCTTATATAAGCCCTTTATTTCGAAAGTGGCATAAATTACATTGTTTTTAAATCGAGATATCTAACGTGAAAAACTTTCGAGAATATTTACTTATATATGTTATCTTTTATGTTGTCCTCAATATAAATAATTACACACAGACATTAAAGAATCGCCATTTTTTCATTGCTATAAAGTTACTTGTGCCACTTTCAAAATAAACGACTCATAATGTAACGCAAAAAGTATTGTTTTTACCGCATTCATGTCTTTTTGCAATTCCTCCAGTTGTTTTTCGTGAATTACTTTCAGTTTCTCCTTCTCTCTATTTTGAATCATTTGTGCGATTTTCCTCTCCTCCATAAATTTTTTCGTATTGTTCTGCTGTTTCTCTCTAAGCCGACCCTCTTTGATCCCGCGAGTCTTCAATGTTTTATCGTTCATTACTTCCCTCATACTTTCTACCGAGAGTCTCGCCTGTCTCGCGTTCATTTCTTTGATCTCACGTTCATGTCGTGCGGTTAATTGCTTCTGCTGGGCCAGCTGAGCAGCCACGCACAATTTTCGCAAGGTATTCCGTCGTTCCTCCAGATGAGAACGTACCAAGTCACGTTCCTCGCGTCGTTGTCTATCGGCCAATCGAGACCATTGAACAGTTTGTTCGGAAACCTCGCGGCGAACGGTCGGATCTCTCGAAAGTTCCGCTTTACTATTAAAAAAAAAAAACACACAGACAAAACGAAAGTTGAAATTCAAACGTTTCTAGTTAAAACGTGGCAAGATCACTAGAAATAGTTACGTACTTTTTCCCTTTAATGATCTTGTCTATCGCAGCGCAATGTTGTTTGTGGACGGTGAGTTTCTCTTTTTGGTGCCTCTTCTTTAAAGATTCCAATTCCTTTTGTTGCTTTCGGAGCACCTTTTGATATCCCTTTTCTTGCCGCAACACGTCCGCCGTTATGGGGTTGAATTTCATTTCCTCTGAAAGAACAACGAGTCCACAAATACATGCACTCAACGTGGATAGGTCGAAGATAATATCAAGGTATTTACCACGCGGTTTAGGTGCTTCGCGATGATGCGTAGGCATGGAATCCGAGTGCCCTTTATTGTCGCTTTCCTCTATCCCAAGCCCACGCATTTTATTCTGCGACGCATTTTCAGATTTTTTATAGGCCCGTGGTGCCGTAAGCGCATCCATAAGTCCTGTAAATTAAGTTCGAATAAAATCACCTACCAACAGCGTGAGTGAAGTCGAAAGCTTACCCTCGTATCCATCTGGTACGTATATCTTGATCTCGATGTTACAAAACAGCATAGGTAAAGACATGGGGAAATTCGCTTCAGTTCGCAGAGATATGTGCCGATATCCAGACTGTAGACCATCCAAAGGGACAATTCTCTGACCTAGCAATTTGCCGTTTGACTCGTCGTAAACCGCGAATCGCAAGGCTGCCAAATCGGGTAGGACGACTTTTCGAAAGAGGAAAGGTTCTTCGTTATACACGGGATTCAGGCCGTTCGCTGGAACTACTCTTGTCCGAAATTCTTTACGAATTGTATCTGTTGGTAAACCATACATTTCCACTTCCACGTACGTTCCGACTTTTTTGTCGGATAAAAATTGGCCCGCGATTACCTGCAAACGCGGAGACAAATCACCACTATCGCAAATTACAACGGGAGAAGGATTGCGAAATACCTGGACGCTGCACTGAGTAGCTATTACACCGTCCACGGGGCTCTCTGCGAAAGGATCGAAACTTCGATCGGCTCGTCTCATGAAATCCGGTTTCAGTAGGTAACCAGAGGAACCGTTGTACTCGAATTTTCCCTGATTCAGCTGCATCGGCAAGTCCGCGGTTTGGAAATTTAACGAGACCATTTGACAGCCAGCGTTCCAGAAGACCTATTTTCAATGATCGATCGTACAGGAAACGGTACGTGAAAAGGCCATCTGTGTTTCCACGAAGCGATCTATTTGTTGCAAGAATTACCTGTGGCATATAATTCGATGAATCCGCCCGAGTGCCTTTCGGATAAATCCGGCTCATTTGACGCTTGTTATAATTGACGAACTCGATGGCTTGCGTCTTTAAGTAATTCAGGCCAGCGGTTTCCGCGAAGGAAGACATGTTGTGATGAATATTCTTTTCTGTACAAGAGGGCATGATCATGAATCTTTTCTCTCTTTTAAACGCATAACCGTGGGAAAGCTTTGCCTTACGTTCGGCAACATCGAAGCCCGGAAACTTTATGGGTTGAGCATAGTTGACCATAGAGGACAACCATGGGTGAACGTTTGTTGTGCTTCCGGTGTACGGTTGAACCACCGCTAATTCCAACGTGTCGCCCAAGCCTGTGCTAGAACTGGACTGCTGTTGATTGCCAGTCGTCGACGATGCTACTGACTCAACCGTCGAAACTTCTTCCTAAAATATAAGCCATTTCTGTTTTCAGCGATTTCACTTCGATCAAATGATTCAACAAAAAGAACGACGTTTCATTTCATCAAGGTTGCTAAAGTTACCTTCACTGATTGTTGCTCAACGACCGCTGCGACAGACGGAGGTGCGCTTGCATCCTCTTTCACCTCGTCTTCGATGACAAACTGACCTTGCCGAAATAATTCCAATTCATGTTTCTCTACTTCGGGTTTCAAACGTTTGTTTTTTATCAGAATTTTACGTTTGAGCATGTTAGGCGGTGGTAGGGACACTCCTGGTTCAAGCTGTTTTATCACATCACACATCGGTATTTGTTAATATCTTTTTTTGATTCGATGTCTAATCTTGCATATCTAGCTTTCATCTTGAACACGTACAACGTGGTTTAATCGCGGATGCTATATCGTGCAGCGGAGATAAGTTTTGATAACAATGAGAGGGAGCAGATGGACATCTAGATTTCGATTGACGCATTCAGTTTTTTTTTTTTTTTTTTTTTTTTGTTTATCGATGGGAACCAAGATTACGATTGACGCACTTGATTTCCTATCGCGGTGTATCCTATCTGATGAAACATCGAATCGTGAATGAAAATACTGTAGGACATTGAGACTGACGAGCAAAACTCACGGGATACTCTTTAAGAGGCTCCTTGAGAAGCAAGTCTCCTAAAATTTCGTCGCAATACTTTGCCAACTTGTATTGCTGCTTCTTGCTGCAATGGTTCTCAAAACTAAGAATCACCGGATATTCCGACGTGACGAACGCAGTGTCTCGTACTGCGTAAATCACGTCCTTGAAGAGGATGTCCGTGCACATAGCTTTACCGTGTGTAATTATCGGTTCCTCGTCCTCTCCTTTACCATCCCAACAATCCAATTCGACGCACCTTCAAAAAAAAAAAAAAAAAACGCTACGTTCTAAGAGATCTGCGTGGAGCGACGTTCACTCTCATTAGCCTTACCTACAACCAGCTAACAACACTTGTCTGTACATCTCAACGCTACTTCGGCCACCAAATTGCCGGCCACTCAAATACGTATTGTGACTCGAGTTAATGTAGTAATGAGCCAACGGTTGGTCCATGTCCATGTAGACGTCCAGCCTGTCCAAGAAAACGGGCGCGTTTTCATCGGACATCAGGTACCTTATAAAACCATCTTTTGTCATCGTTTCTGAAAGGACGTGATTGTTTCTGAAAGGATGCCATTTCGCAGGTACAAACTAATTCAAACACGTAGGCGATCGACGATGAATATCTAGCGGGTACAACGACGAAATTCGAGAAGCAGGATTAAGGTTGTAACGCGGTAAGTAAAAATCTTACTTTGATTTCGCGCTACTTCATTCTGTTCGTAATCGTGTATAATCTCTAACGCCCTCTTCTCGTCGTACAGCGGATACAATATCTCGTTCAAAGTTGGATCGCGTTGCTTCTCGTTTAGAAACGTGACCAGTTGTTCCAAATTGATAGTGTCCGCTTTGCCCTGGGTGCTGAGAATATTCAATGCAAATAAACCATATCGTTTCTCCGTTTATTAACGAATCAATCTCAAATAGCGGGAATATGACGTATGAAAATTATACTTCCTGCACTTACATGGACTGGAATAACTCCTCTATGTCGTTCCTCGGGCAGATTTTGTGGTACAGCGCGTAAAACGCGTCGAATGTGAAATCTTCAGGCTCGATGACATCGTTCTGTGAAACATGATCGATATTTCAGCAAATGCATTGCAGGATTTTCTGCAGGATGCATACGTTTCTTTGCAAGTACCTTTCCACTAGATAGGCCTAAATCGGCGAGGCACTGATAAACAAGCTTTTCCGTCTTTCCAGATGCGAAAGTTCTCGCGACCACTTTCACTGGGACTTTACCATTTGGATCAACCAACATTCTAAGTCGCATCCAACTAGAACACGACAAAAAAAAAAAGGGTTTCGCTTATTAAAAATAAAAAATATTCTCTAGTGTTTTAGTGTTTTATTTTTTCGTTTGTATTTAAAAATACCACCACGAAATTTGCGATACGTTCTCTTTTCACGAAAGAAAAACATCTCGCGTTTATGCTCTCCTATGAAAAACATGGAGGTTTTATCGGTCGAAACATAAATTTTCACAGTGAAAATCAATATTGTGAGTGAATGGTCTGCCGCTGGTAAGTGTTTCTGGCTAATTGTTTCACAGCAATCGTGTTTTTATAACTGGTAGCGTAGGTGTGCGTAATTGCATTAGTAAACTCACTGTTTCTTCAAGCACGTAAGGGGGCAAACGTTGTTGGCTTTCACGTTGTGCGTAATCGATCGTATACCATCCAGCCATACCTGTTATGAGACATAGCAAACACATAAGCTTGTTGATCATGATAATAATTGCTTAACCAGTGAATTGAAAAATTTTCTGCGATCGATGCAAATACGATCTCTTTTCTTTTTTAATTCGACGAATATCAATGTCAGTGATAACAATATTATCGGATTAATTCATTTCATTTAATAACTCTTCAGAAGAACGATCAAATTAAGTATAACGAATAAATTTACCTTAGCCGTCGCTGGATCCGGACAAACGACATGCTGGTAATTAATATTGGTATAATCTACGCCAGAACAGATGGTTAAACATTTTTCCTCCAATTGTTCTCCGTGCTTCGTGAGAAGCTTGTCGTAAAGCTTTGGATCCTGAATAAAATTAGAGAACGATTTTTAAATGGTCTCGCGAGCTTAATTAAAATATCACAAAGAAAGTGTATATATACATATATATCATCGGTCGTCGTTTTTTTTTTTTTTTTTTTTTTTTTTTTTTGTTAAGGAAAGGAGAGAAAATATTAAATATGTTTGCACGTAGAAGAAATCAAACATTTCAAACGAAAATCAAACATTTTCACTAGTGCATCGACTATTAATTGAAAATAGCCACGAATTGATTAATTAGATCATTCAATATATTTTTTTATCTCAACTTTCTCACCCTTGGTAATCCGCCAGCGCGTATATCGCTTACTTGACACAGCTCTATAACATCTCCGTCCTATGAATAAAACAATGGATAATTAGACAGTATACTCTCATTTAAGTACAACGCGCCACATTAACAGAAATTCTGTGCTTAGACGAACAATGAGAGTCGAATGCACGACGAAGGTGCACTCACCTTTCCTTCGCTTTGCCAGTAGATAAAAAACCCGTATTCATCGACTTTAAACAAGCAATTTAGTTCGAGATCCGTGTTGTCCTTCTCCTCTGTCCACCGATCGAACACGCATCCCTGACGAAGTGATGACGGTACTTCGATCTGCCAATTGAACTCGAACCTTTTCGTCATTTTTTTTTTTTTTTTTTTTGCACCAATTTGTCCGTGTCAAGCAGTATACACCTCGGGTTTCATCCAATTCCTATTTGTGATTTAAAAAGTTCTGATGAAAAATTCTGAAAACCGCGTCCCTTACATGTTTCACCCCTATCACAGTCATTTGTCTGCCAATTTTAATCCTTAACTAATATCATTTTAGACATAACAATTTAAATACTATTTAGTTACATCATTATCCAATTTCATAATTTTTCATTCGATTTAATTTTATTACTAGAAAGGACAATTTAAAATAACCTAAATTTTAGTAATTTAACACAAATCACCTGTGACTCAACTATCTTAGAAAGGACAATTTAAAATAATCTAAATTTTAGTAATTTAACACAAATCACCTGTGACTCAACGATATTATTCATTTTAAAAAAGAAAACACATTCCCAATGCAACATATGCATATATATTTCGATCATCTACCAGTTTGTTTAGCCATTTAGAAATCGGAAATTTGTCGAAAATCATTTACCAAGGAAATTTTAACAAAGTACAAAGTCTACCGCATGATTTCTATCACGCCGCCTCATTGCCGATTCCAACGTCGTTTCCCAAGATTACGAAAGTCGACCGCGCCACGTAGAATACGAAACGATCTGCGCGATTACTTTTTGATGTTGTTCATTTATTTAACGTACGACATTATACATTGAACGCCAATCGATCTGCCGCGCTGGTTCGACTAATTCGTGTATACTTGGTGTATCCCTTAATAGTATTCTCCCAACCTCAATTGAGTGTTAACCTCCGGGAGAATGAGAGCAATACGTGCTTTAACCTCTTTTACCTGCATCAAAATCTAATTAATCGTTGATCTCGTTAAACGGAAAGCTTCGACGTGAAATATCCGACGTTGGGCCCGCTTTCTGAAAGCAGCAGCTCGTTTCAGAAAGAATTAACACTCAAAATCGACATTCCCGCGGACAAATCGAGCAGCAAAAATCTAGGGGAACGTCAATTTGGTTATTATTGGCCTCGGAACTGCCATTCACGGAGACTTTAACAGTATTTTCTTAACCTCGATTGCCGACTACTATCTCCGGTGAATCAGATAACCGAATTTCTTAACCCATTTTTCTTTCATATATATATATTAGTTGAAAGCTTGCATCTTGTCTCGAAAATGTTTTCCATGTTCCTGTCATCATCAAACTGCATTGAACTGCTCGAGCCGACAGTCAAGAAGATGTTAAATCGTTTAGCAAGAGCCATTTGAAATGGATATCTTCGCGATCATGGTACATCACCGTGGGTTTTTCTGTTTTTTCGACCGGTCGATACTGTATCGAAGCGCAAAGGATTTGCTGGCATCGTTGCACTGATTGACCTTTATTCACTGGCTACAAAGTAGGACAAACCATAGACAGAAACGGCTAGGTGAAAATAGAACGATGCTAGAATATACCATGGCCTCTCCTATCAGGAAACGTATCCTGAATTAGTCGAATCGCTATACGTTTTACGAGTTCAGCAATAACATTTTATTATCTTCTAGCTAATTGGAATTTATATTTACCAACACCCGAACGATAAACTTTCACGTTTTAGGAATAAGTAAACAACAGACGAAAATATAATAAAGCTGTAGATGACTTACGACATTAAGAACGTTTCTTCCTGGCTGGTTTGCACATCTTAGTTCTCTGCTGCACCTGCTAATGATAAAAATCGAATAAAGATTTGCAAATGCAGTTTCGTACACATTGAGGCTGAAGTCAAGGTCTTGGATTCTATATATAGCAATTGGTATACAAACTGATTTCACCGAACTTTATATTCAAACTTTGGTGGGTATTCACGTTGCTGTCAAACTATTCTGTTCCGGTCAACAGAAAAGGGGACATTCAATTCGACCTTTAATGCGCGTATCAAATCGAAGGAGATATTTACAGACGAGAATCAAGTTGACCTTTCGAATGTTCGGAATTACCCAAAATCTACAAGTTTAATGCTGAATGAGGAGCACACGACAAATTAAGAACGCATTCATATTTAAATTTGCAATTCAATATGTTAGATCTTTCTGAACTTAAATTGAATACAATAAATAACATATATTCTATATGAATTTTTCAGGTTTATTTGCGAGAACAAGAGTTGCAGCTAGTGTATTTGACTTATTTTCCATAGCGTAACGTAATGCTTAATGTAATTTTACTATTATTGCCGTCACATGAAAGTTCGATACCGACGTTGAAAATTTGATACTAATAAAATAAAACACTAATCTTTACACTCTTTGTGTAAGACTAACCATCATTCGGTAACTGAATTTATCATTCGCGAATAAGAAAGATCGAGTAACCTATCAATGTTTCTATCGTCTACGGATATCCCGCTTTGTCTTATCGAAAAATTATCTTAATTGACGCAAGAGGAAGTTTTATACTAGTCAGCTAATTACGTCTGGCAATTACGCTCGAGTACTATGGATACAAAAAAATCTCAGCGATTCGTTTGCGCATTATTCTTCGTACTCTTTTGCATTCGTTTCAGAAATTTAGATATTCTTTATAGGTCTTCCAGTTTTTTTGTACTCGTTTGAAAATAGTAACTTAAATATTCTTCACGTGTCGTGTAGCTTTTTGTATTCATTACGAAATAGTAATTTAGATATTCTTTATATGTTTCCAAGAAAAAGTAACAATAGCCGCGAACATATAACGGAACCAGACGCGAGCACAATAAAGCCAGCGAAACACAAAAGCGGACAAAACTAAAAAAGAGAAAAGAGAAAAAAAAAGTTGAAAAGAAGCGCAACGAAAGATCTCGTAGATATTTTTGGATCATTCGAGTCCCAGAATTTTCTCGGAACGTCCTGAACTTTAGTTCATATAAAAACAATATATATTTGGAAATAAATTTACGAAGAAATACCATCGCTGGCGCTTGATTGACGTTTGACGCTTACGTACATTTTTCATCGTGTCGCTAATCATATTTTACAAATTAGTAATTCGAATAAAGTTCAATTGATTTCAAAGAAATTGCACGAGTCCGATATACGAAAACGTTTCGTGTAGTCATAGTCGTTTCGCCTTATTTCCTTCGCATCAGGCTCACAACTGTACAGTATAACCTCTATATGTATAAACCGGTTGTAGTACATATATATACAGCGGTGGTGCGTAAACAGAGGAGCGTTACGAAAATAATGTAGGAGTGCGGCTCGCTCATGCCGGGGCTTCTTCTCCTTGGCACGATGAAAATGTTTCTGGCGCCTGACAGTAAACGAATTCTAAGGAACCGGCAGATGTAACGTCATATCATGGGCGCGCGATGTTCCCAGGTTTATTTAATGGTAAGTGGTAATCAAGTATTTTGGTCGTAAAAGCGGAAGAGCACTAGAATGTAATATCGTGTGTCTTTGTTGATTGTTAAATGTAGTATTTGCTAAATGATTGATCGTACAGCATCTCTACCACAATGTCTTCATTGTGTTCGATTAACATATCATTTATACGTTCAAGAATTTCGATAATCTCATAATTCAAACAGCAATAAACGTATAGATAATAAAGAGGAAGATAAATTTATAATAGAAGATCAAAGACAACAAGCCAGCAAACAGAGTAACATTAAAGTAATCCAAGATGAACTGAAATTTAGACTTTCATTTGATGTAGCGACATAAATACCACCGTGACACTTTATAATCTGCGAATGTTAATTCTACGAAGCGTGCGAACAAGTATAATCAAACACACGTTGTACGAGCAATTTCGTTGGATTCATGAAAGATCCAAGTTATGTGCATTATGCGCTTATGCAATATCACGTAACACCTTCGCTCCGAGTTCGCCCGGGATGAATGAAATGATTGCACGACAGAAGCCTCCTGAAAATTCGTGTGAACGCACACACGTGTATGTATGTACGTATTCTGACATAGTTTGAAATTTCCCTTGGCTTGATCCCTTGGTTTCTTTTTTTTTTTTTTTTACGGAAGGCTTTTAAAATACATTATCTCTGAACTAGCCGTTACACGTTACGTACACACGCTCGTAAATACAGGGTAAACATTTGCACTTTGATACACATAAATGGAACGTCGTGGAAAAATATTTGCACAGCCGATGAATACCGGCGTTACTTGAATTTGGAGCAGCGGCGGCGACTACTGAGGGAACTGCCAGCGAAAATTTCTTTACGCGCTAGATTAATCGACAAGTGGTCGTAGTTCAATTGCGGCTTGTGGATCAGTAATTACATAACTTCCGGTGTAGGCTTTGAAGGACGAGTTGAACTGGCGCGACATTGACCGCTCAATCGCTTAATACGCTTGTCGGGCTTCTCAAGAAGAATAGAAATAAATGAGGGTCATGACCCGTATTGAGCAAGAGTAATGGAAGAGATCTCGCGATTCTTCCGGCCTTCAATTCCAACTATTTCACAGGTTATCCATTGTAAACGCTGATTGCTCGTGCGCTCATTAAAGTAGAAGATTGGTTTCCTTCGGTGCGGAACGTGCACTCGTATGATTCGATTAGCAAATTACTTATAATATCGTGTGAAATTGTATTTTTCTCTCTGTTTGTATTATATTATTATTGTACAGGTTATACGCGACGTACAATCGACTACGCGAATGATGCAACGCGTTCGGGTTCGTTGAAAATGTTAAAAGATACGGTCGATATCACGCGAATATTTATAAACCAATCATATACAAACAGTAGGATAAAAAAAGGCCTCGATAAACATTGCCAGCATTTTTCTACCTGTGGAAAGAGCGCAAAATTGAGATATCAGTAACGCTGGCGAAGGTATCTGCATAGAATGGCAATTGCATTTCCTCGCGTTTAATAAGCGTAATGTCCGAGGCGGCTATTTTCTGTGCCCGTATAAAGCCGAGTACTTTCTGACGAAGAAGGTCAGAAGTCAGGAAAAAAGAAGCAGAAAGGAGAGGAGAGGTAGATAAAGCGATTGATGGTAAATGACAAGCTAATATCGAGGACTGGTAAGGTGACCGAAAGAACTGAGACGTGATATCTTGCAATAGATGCGATGTTTCCGTCAAACTCATTCCACGGAAGGTTGTATGTTTGCCTATCCATTATCCGACCATGCTTCTGATTCCCTTGACCTCGAAAATCCCTCTGGAGACTCACAATCAGGTCGTGTGAATCCCCATCGTTTTTCCTTTCCTCTCTCTCTCTCTCTCTCTCTTACTCGGCGTCTTATCGCACGCTGATTGCACCGCGCAGCTTCCAAACTCGTTCCAATCGTGTTACGCTTGCCACTTGTCACGATACATTTGCCCAATGACGAACGTGTATACTTTCAAAATATGTGCGTTCACAAAACAAATCACAACTGTATGAGAAGCATACGAAATATAATGCTCGTGGGTCAGCACGCATGAGCGGTACGTATGGAAATGTATGGAAAAGAGAAACAGAAGTAGGAACGGAGGTGAAGGGGAACAGAAAAAGAGCAGGGGGAACGATCAGATACAGAGAGCAATAAGAAATAAGAGTAACAAAAAGATTGGAAACAAAGGGAAGAAGGAGAAAGGAATTGATATACAGAATTGTATTGCTATATGTATAGATCGAGACGACCGGCGGTTGGCGAACGGTGCGCGTGTGTCTCATAGACGATGCTCGGTGTTAGCTGTTATCTAGTTGAAAGAAACCCCGTTTATTATGGTAACGTCTCAATTACGTTCCAAGCGAAACGAACGAAACAAGTTGGTCGAATCGCGTATCAGCTTCTGTATACGAATTCAACGTGTTCGTTCGCTTCGAAAAATCGTAGAGATAATTTTCATTTCACGCGACCTGACTGGATCTGTGAGTCGTTAATTACGTCTACGACACTCTGACGTAAATTTACAAAACATTGGCCGATAGTTTATACGACTAGCAGGCATCCAAGGTTCCGGATGAAACGCAATGTGCCTGTGACGTGCAGTAACCATGAACGGTTGTGTATGATGTCGGGCGAGAGCGCGCACACACACACACACACACACACACACACACACACACACATATGGTCGCGCGCGCATTCACAAGCACACATGGGCGTACTACTATGTCGTGAACGAAATTTCTGTAAGGTGCCTTGGCCTTACCGTGATGTGAAATTACCGGCTAACTGACGGCGAACAGTCCCGCGGCGATTCGATTACATTCTATCGACGTTCCTCTTGCACCGGTCTGCACACTCGAGTGCTCACGCACTCGACCTCTCTGTTTACGAAAAAATAAAAAAAAAACGAACGTTACGGAGGAAGCGCGCGTTTCTTCGGCTCGACACTGAACGCCTTTCAGGCGCGGCGGGAGAAACTGACGGTGCGACACCGTCTGTTGACGGGCAAGCCACTAGCCTGGCTCGATACCGTCCTTTTCTCCTGCGCGCATGTGCCGCCGTCACACTTTAGCTTGTTTCTTACTCGGTTAGTAAAAACGGTACCTGCCTTTCGAGCACAGAAATTATTTAGCACGCGAGATTATTTAATACTGACACGAAACGAAACGAAACAAGCAGTTTTATTTACATTACATTACGACTAAGGGATATTCGATTTTATTGTTGAATGAATAAGTAAACGTCTCTGTATTCAAGCGGATACGATATGATTTTATTTTGAAATAAAGAATCGTGAAGTGTGTTTAAATAAAAAAGCATATTTCGAATAACAATTCGTTCAAGTCTGAATATATCAATAATTTTAATTTTGAAAAGCGAAAAAGCGTGGGACTTAGTTCGTGGAGATTAAATATTCGAAATTATTTGAAATAAAATAAGCTGCTTATTTAATTTCACGGATTTTGCATTCAGATTCGGGCCACAATTAATCAGAATTAGATTCTCTGTGTATGAAGATCTCGCAGTTTTATGCGTCAATATGGTTTCATTTTCATATCATCAATAGGGAATGAGTATCAGTATTCTGTATATGAAACGCGTTGGTAAACTATTCGTTTCATTATGTAAGATCTTCACAGTTCAACTTACGATATTTTTATATTATTTCAAAATATATTCCAGTAGATAATGAAATTATGATTCATAAGATATAAATATCTTTCTGGCGGATAAAGCGAAGCCAGTTATCTTTATGTGCGGATAGATCACATGTAAATAACCTGCCACTTTGATATACAGCTACTGTAACAAAAATAAAACAGGAATGTTTTGTGTTAACCGAGCAGCTGGAGAAAAGATCTGCAAATGATACTCGTAACTTTTTCTTTTTTGACCAATAACATGTTCGGTTGATAAGAAGTAAAATGAATTGCTTCTAGATTTGAAAGCATATTTATTAAATAACACAATCGGAAAGTATTTGTAACTGTTGCTAGGGGATCCCATTGAAAAAAATCACAGGTTTCACCGACATCAAAATTCACCGACACCAGAATTTACCAACAACGGTCTTAACCGATATAATACACTTGATATAATGCGTAATTGCAAGTAAGTTGGAAGAAGTAAATTAAAAAGTCAATGGAGATACTGCTCTACTACTTTAACATGATAAAATACACTTGTAATAATAAAATACACTTGTAAATTTGTCAGAAATAAAAATATAGATTCTAAAAACAATTCAACAGAAAATATATTGACACGTATATATAATAGTTATTTGTATATATATATATATATATATATATATATATATATATATTTTTTTTTTTTTTTTTTGTATAATAATATATATAATAATATATATTATTATACAAAATAAAATTAAATTAAAATTATAACAAATAAATATTATGTACATGTGGCAATATATTTTCTGTTGAATTATTTTTAACATCTGTATTTTTATTGGGGTATTTAAAATAAATCTTTTTTTTTACTTTTATTATATTGAATAGTATTATCAGTTATTTATTATATTAATAGTATTATTTCCATCGATTTTTGAATTTACTTCTTTCGACTTATAGTATATTCGACTTGTAGTATTTATTACATCAATTCGAAAAAAGCGTATTATATCAATTAAAACTATTGTTGTTATTATTATTAATTTTTGGTGTTAATGTTAATGGATTTTGATGTCAGTGATCTGAATAGGACCCGCTGCTAGGATTTTTTTGTAATCAATTGTAACAATCGATTGTATCTTAATCTAGTATTTCATCTTCTTTCGTTATGTATTATAGATATCAATAAAGTTAACATTTAAGGTATACTAATTTTATTCAATGGCAAAGTTAAAATTTTGTATTAGTACTCTCATTCCATTAAAATAAAAATCTTGTTTTTTGAGATCTTGTGCTTTCTAATTTTTTAATGTACTATAAAATTCTGTGCTCCAATTTTGTATAAAAATAAAACGGAAAACTTTGTTACTAAGATTTTGTCGTATACGCAAAATTAATTTTCGTTACCTAGCAGCGAGTTAAAGTCAGCGTTGTTTCGTATCAAGCTACCACATCGAATCTTGCTGGATAAATGAACGAAAGATATCACAAACGAGGTATATAAACAATGACTAGTAGGATATACTGGACATCCAATGCTTTTTCGTATCCCAGATTTTGGAGGATCATATGACCTCCTTACCATTTTCGTATCACAACCTGTCATATCGATTTAGGCAAGTATTACACTACAGCGCTATTGATGATCGAAATTAAATATTCTCAATATTTTTAAACACGTTTGAATTTTTACAAATTTCAAGAAATTAAAGAATAGAAATTTCTTTAATTTCTCACTGCCGTTACATAACGTAAAAATATATTGACAGAAACAAAAGTTCAAGATAATCAAAGCAACAGCTTTATATTTTAAAAGGAATTCAAGTAAAGTATTACATAATTTTTTTACGAAGTTATAATAAGACTTGTATTTTTAATTATTCTAAAAATTTGTTCAAAGTGAGAGTATTGACATTTCGGATCGGATAATTTTGAGCGAATAACTAAGACTCTGAAACAAGGATCGTGCAACCTGTTTCGCTAGTTCCATGGACAGAATATTTTGATGGTATATGACTAGACCTCGTCTGTGATCCAGTCTATCCTCTTAATCAATTATCTAAGTAAATAAAGCATCTCATGAGATTTCATGACCCACGCTCTGAAATACCGACATAGTAAAAAAAAATCAGTGGTTTTTTAGCGCACTCTACACTTAAACTTGTTAGTCAATGGTGTGACACGAAAAAGCATTGGATGTCCAGTCTATCCTGTTGGTCAATGGTTAAAAATGGTGAACTGGATAGCTATTTCGAGTAAAAGTAGTGAATGCAATGTGACTTTTAAAATCTATTACCAAAATTGTTGTCAAATTTTCAATACCGATATGTGAAGCTAATAATATATTAACTGAAATTATTCTATTAGATATCACAAAGAGCTCTATTTATATTTTATGGATTTATGATGGTTTTTTTTTATATACTAAATAAAAATTTTTAAATTATACATAGTTTTAAATGTAAATGATTTACATTTTATAAAACATTCTTAAAAGTAATTTTTCACTAACTAAATTTTTAACTATTTTAAATTATTAATATTAAAATATTAAAATTATTATATTACCTCATTTACGTATATTACATATTCAAATTTATATTAAATTTTAATAATTCTATTATGGAATTATATTTCTATTATAGATTTATAATAATTCTATTATGATTATGCAATATTATGCATTGAATATAACAAATAACATAAATTCTATTATTCATTAAAAATTATGTTTATTAATTAAAATATTTGAAATTTTTCTATAAACTATCTTTATTTATCAATATTATAATAATTTTTATTTATAATAAAAACAAAATTTCATTAATTATTTGATATTGAAAATGGAAAGAAAGAATCTCTAGTGACTGGATTTAAAAATAAATAAATAATATTTGACTAAATAAATCAGAAGTTGAAAATCTACCGTAATACAAAGATGAAAGAAAATTCGATTAAAATTACATGATTTGTCTATCAACTATTATTTATTCGTTACATAAAACGAAGAATAAAAATTGGACAAAATTCGTTCACTGCAAGATTTTTGTTAGAAATAAACGTGAATAAACTTTGATTTATCCATATCAAATTCCAATATTTATAAAATTCTACTTTATTGTTGAAACATTTAGAGAAATATAGAGAAAAGAAGAGAAAATGATAAAAACAATCACTATTATTGACTCCAATAACAATACACTGGATATTAATTCAAAATAAACTATTACTCTACTCAGTACTACCGATTTTTTAAAAAGAATTTCAAATTTTCATTGTAATATTTAAATATTTCGTTGCAATATTTCTCTTACTTTATTTTATATATAAGACATCACTTATACTTTCATACATATAAATATATTAAATTTATAATAAAATTTTATATTCTAAAACTCGTAAAAAAGTTTCAGCTAATAAAAATATATATATTTTTTAGCAGTATTTTACAAATAGTAACAAACGTAGTAACAAACGGGGCAATGAGGAGTGTTGAAAAGAAAAACTAAGACAGTAACCAAAAGGACTATTGACAAAGAAGTCAGGAGGACTTGAATAAGAAATCGCAACACAGTAGCCAGAAGGGCTACCGATAAAAACCGCGATACAGAAACCAGAAGGGCTACTGTACAATTACTTATATTACAAACACGAACAACAAACCGTAGAAACAAACATTTTTGCAACACTGATTCGCTAGCACTAATTAAATAAGAAATATTCAAAATCAAACACGAAGAGTGCTCCATCATGTTTAAGATTTCCAAAAATAAATACGAAACGCTATTAATCTATGCACTCATGTTTAAAAATGCGCAACGCTAATTGTGACGCGACCACTCCAGTACAACCATGTTGCAGGTCGCTGACGAATAACGATCTCTTAGTGACGAATAAACAGCTCTCCTAGCTGTACCAGGTGATCCAGGAGCAAGAACAATCTCCCACGAAACCAGTGGAAGAATTTGGGCATTTTGTAAGCGCAACGCTATATTAAGAAACGCGATCATTCATTATCGCAACACTAACAAGAGAAAAAGTAATTAGAAATCGCGATGAAGTAACGTCGCAACACTAACTCTAAAACCAAATTGAATGAAAATTATTATTAATAACACAAAAGCTACTGTATGAGAAAGAAGCTACTTCGAAAATAAAATAAAGGCAATGATTCTATAATCTAAAAATAACAGAAAGCAAGATAAATTTCACTATGTATAACACTAAGATAACCATAAAAATTAATAATTAAAATTGCAAAAGACAATCGCGGTATCATAATTCGCAACTCTAAAAGCAAACACGATTATTATTTCTTCGTAACACTAACTTAAATCGTAATCAATTTCTTGCAACACTAATAAACGGGAGCGGAA